AGGTTGTGGTGCGGCTGGTAACTGGGGTTGTAGGGTGGGAGGTCGTACAGGATCGTCCGTTGTCGTAGGTGGCGGTGCTGCTGGTAACTGTGGTCGAAAAGTGAACTGCGTAGTCGGCGGATGTGTCTCTGGATTTAGCAGTGTCGCAGACGTTGAGACGAAGCCTGGAGCAAAGCAGAGAGCTGAGTGAGGCCGGAGTCGTGGAGCTCTATGTGGGAGAGCGTGGCGGCTCGATTGAGAATTGTGAGTGTCTGAACTCGGGGAGCGAGAGCGTGGCGGCTCGATGCGGTCGTAGTCTGCTGTCTGCTCTGTGTCGAAGCTGTAGCGTCTTGGGTTGATTAGGACTGTACACGCCGAGTACTACATTGTTGACTGTGGAAATTGTAGTCTGGTACCAATAAAAGATGCAGGCAGTGTGTGGACAAGCTCGGTGTAGCAGGAGAAAAGAATGTGCATAATTGTTGCGTCCTTGGGTCGCTGGTGGAGCATTTAGATCCGGGGCGGATGGGCTCGGGCACCAGGACATTAGGAGGTAATGTAGGCACGTAGTTAGGACAACGAGGTAATCACATCTAGAGCTGAATTGTCCTGAAGGCGACGAAGTGTCGGAAACGCAAGCTGTAAGTCCTGTACTGCGCAAAGGGCTTGAGTCGGCCAAGTATCAAAATGCAGTGAACGTGTAGATGAATCTGATGACAGAGCAGCTGTCGTGGGCGTAGGACAAGCAGTGCCCTGGCAGCGACGGAGAGTCGACAGGACAAGCTGTAGATCCAACATGATGTAATCATTGATGAGGCTGTCAGATGAGTGAGTAGTGATCGTGGAGCAGCAAGCCGTAGTAGATGAAAATGCAGAGACGATCACGATGAAAATCATAGCTGTGGCAAGGGTGTTGGCAACGTTCCATGACAGGTGGCTGCGGTCCACAGCAAGCAGCAGCAGTGGAGGTCCAGTGAGAGTCCATATTGTAGTCCATCGTGGCTGGGTATCGTCGAAACTCTCTGGGGTCACCAATGTAACGGTTCTTGCATTTGGAGCGAGTATATATATTATTGGGATAATCTACTCGCTACACTCACTTCGACTGGGTGAGGGAGCTTAAGGTACAGGGCTGAGCAGATGTGGGGGGTGGACAGGCCTCCTCCCGATTGGGCTTCAAATAACAGCCACCTACTGGAGAAAAACCAGTGCCCCATAACAACACCGAGGGTCACCTCCCCCTCTAGGTCCACTGCACCTGCATTTGGTCGCCAAGGCTGAACCAACAGGCGTGCTTCAGGGGCGCGCCAGGCGTGCTTCAGGGGCGCGCCAGGCGTGCTTCAGGGGCGCGCCAACACAGACACAAACACTACCTTAAATGTTGAGAAGGGCAGGACGCCCCCTGACGGGTCGCTCTGAGTCGTTGTCGATAGGAACTGGTGTAGGGTCCATGCTGGGGGAACAGTTGAGCAGGCTAAACTTCTGTGTTTACGATTTACTGAGCAGCAGTGAGCAGCGTTTTGTAAGTGAGCAGCTGCTTGCTTGACGGGAAGAGGGGCCACGCAGTCTGCACGCCGAGCTTTATAACCTCGGCCCGTTGCGCGCGCAGCTTGGGCGGTTAAAGTCAGCTTCCAGACATACGTTTTCTCTTCCCTCAGAAAACCCACCGTTTTTGGGAAAAACAGTGTTCTTTGAACAATCTTCTCTCGTACATACAGCAATGAAGCGCGTCAATGACTGGGCAAGTACAACTCAAACCGAACTTGCAGGCATATACCTTGCCACTGAATTTTTAAAAGACAAAGGCAGTGGACTTATATACTGTGACTCGCAGAGTGCACTCCTGGCATTGAACGCACATAGTAGTGACACCCAGAAAATAGTCAGTGATATTCGAATGAATGTTTTAGCTGCCAAAGAAAACAGATTTGAGATTAAATTCCTATGGATACCATCACATGTTGGCATCTCAAGGCATGACACTGTTGATATGCTTGCTAAGTCAGCCTGCAGAAAACCAGTGGTAGAAATTGATATGGGTGTTTCATTAGCAGTGACAAAGAGAATACTTAAACAAATATCTAATGAAAATCTCACCGACCTAACAAATTCTCAAAGACCTGAAAGTTGTAGCTTTAAATATTATGATAGATATCGTGAGGAGACATTCACATATGGGACTAATAGAACAAGAACCCGGCAATGTGATGTTATAGTGGCCAGAATACGCCTGGGATATAGACGTATCTGGCAGCTTTCTCAAAACCCAAATGTCGAGTACACAATGTGTCAACTTTGTGAAAGAGAAAACATGCACTCTCTTGAACATTATATTGTAGAATGTCCCATACTGACTGACTTTCGCCCTCCTGGGCTAAGGTAATTAAGGTGAACTCTGTAATTACTATATGAGTACTGGAACACTTGATGATATATTGGACTTGTATCCAAGATTGACCATGTAATATATCAATCATACAATGTATATATATGATGTAACTATATAACCTGAGCTTGTAAAAGCACCTTCATCACCTTCAGTGATTAAGTGCTTAATTGCACACTAGTTTCTTTATCAGCTACCTCATCCTGTCAGAGTAAATGAGACAAATGTATGTGAATGCATGTGTGAGTGTATATATGTATGTATATGTGTGTGTGTGTATGTATATGTATGGGTATAAAGTATATATGGAAGCTGATCAGAATTACATTTCACCTTTGTGAATGTACATTAATGACACTATGTAAAAGACACATCTAACACTTTATGTAGGGCATACGTAAATCTGTGTATCTATGTATTTACGTATGTAGGTTAGCTTAGCATTTTAAAAGCACCGAATCACCTTCTGTGGTTGAGTGTTCAATAAACCCTTGAACTATATGTTTAACACTTCTCTAACCCTGTCCATGGAGGACAGAAGAAAATGTATATATGCTGATTAGCATTGTAAATGTGTGGCCACGTCTGTGGTAGAAAATAATAAAAAAAAACTAAAAAAAAAAATAAAAAATAAAAACTTGGTCTTCTGATGTCTTCTAATCAGCTCGCTTTCTGACGACACCTCACGCTGATTCTTGACTTTGGATTTCAATACTAAATTGCTACCTCAAACCACTGGCATTTTATCTTTCCTTATTGTGATTGGTACTGCTGGGCACAATGTTCTCGCGGCCCGGTCTCTGACTAGGCTGTTAGATACTATCCTGAACCCACAACCCGGATGATCGGGTAGTTTGTTCATTGACCCCAGAATAGTCCCAAACTAGACTGACTTTACCCCACTCCATACAACACCTTCCTTGTATCTTGCATTTACTAATGAGATTATCTTGAGATTACCTTAAGAGATGATTTCGGGGCTTTAGTGTCCCCGCGGCCCGGTCCTCGACCAGGCCTCCACCCCCAGGAAGCAGCCCGTGACAGCTGACTAGGTACCTATTTTACTGCTAGGCAACGGGGGCATAGGGTGAAAAACTCTGCCCATTGTTTCTCGCCGGCGCCCGGGATCATAGGATCACAAGTCCAGTGTGCTGTCCGCTCGGCCGACCGGCTCCCACCGGTCGCTTGCCACTGAAGCTTGACATTGAGTGTTAAGCACTCTCGGTTAACTCTTCGCAAGACCTGACAGTACAAAGTCTCTATAGTCACTCGGCAGGACATAGCCCTACTAGTCTTGTACTAGTACTAGACTACATGGTCTTGTGAACTTTATAAAAGTGGTTATAAAACCACCCATTAGCTCCACAATAGGCAAACTGTAACAAAGAAGTTGCACAGGTTTGCAGAGAAATCGGAAGCTGACCTGCAGAGACTGTGTTTCCAGTTACAGTAATTTCAATGAACTGGCCTGTTAAATGCTTATGGTGCTGGAGATATGGGAAGGTGCGCGAGTGTTCCTCATGACCTCTTCTGTGGGTACCCAGATCACCCTCAGGATTGTTTACTCGCCTGGTTGAGCTTCGGCTCTTTGGTCCCGCCTCTCGACTGGTGAACAGTCGAGCTTATTGGGCTCTAACATATCTACATGTCAAACTGTGTGTAATCTGCCTCCTTCACATCACTGCCTTCCATCTGTTAAGTAAGACTTTTTTTTTAATATATGTGGCTCGCCCAACCACTTGGGCTGAACGGGTGCTTTATGTTTGATAATTTTTTTTTTTTTTGAGATATATACAAGAGTTGTTACATTCTTGTACAGCCACTAGTACGCGTAGCGTTTCGGGCAGGTCCCTGGAATACGATCCCCTGCCGCGAAGAATCGTTTTTTCATCCAAGTACACATTTTACTGTTGCGTTAAACAGAGGCTACAGTTAAGGAATTGCGCCCAGTAAATCCTCCCCGGCCAGGATACGAACCCATGACATAGCGCTCGCGGAACGCCAGGCGAGTGTCTTACCACTACACCACGGAGACTAATTACTTGCCCCCGTCTGGTGTATAGGTTTGTAGCGAGTTAATCTTATATTCGCTCCATTATCTCATTATCTTAATAGCATAACTAATTACAGAAGCTACAATCCTTTCCCCAATTACAGGTAATACTCTTCTCACCTTGTTGGAGGAAGCTGAGGTGTAATCACCGTATAAGCAATGATTTGATGAATAGAAAACAGTTCAATTTCCACAGTCAACAATGTAGTACTCGGCGTGTACAGTCCTAATCGACCCAAGACGCTACAGCTTCGACACAGAGCAGACAGCAGACTACGACCGCATCGAGCCGCCACGCTCTCGCTCCCCAAGTTCAGACACACAATTCTCAATGGAGCCGCCACGCTCTCCCACATAGAGCTCCACGACTCGGGCCTCACTCAGCTCTCTGCTCTGCTCCAGGCTTCGTCTCAACGTCTGCGACACTGCTGTATCCTGGACTACTAAATAAATATGAAACTCACTAAACACTGTGTATCTAATCAACCCAACAATGTAACACAATCGTACGTTACACTTTAGTCTACCATAAATAACTTGTAAACGAAAATGGAGATGATGTTATAAGTATTTAAGCGACCACTTCTTGTTCTACCACAACAAGCAAACGTCGCCCCTAAATCAACACAACAACAAGCATTCTGCTTAGAAAACTTATTTTCTACATAGTAATGCAGTCTGTAATTTAAATGCTGCTTATCGTGGGACACTGCAGCAGCACCAAAGGTCTGGAACTGACCTGGTAAACTTTACGAACATAGCGACGCATCAATAGTGGACATTACTACTCATTCCAGGATCGGAAAGACCTGTCAGGAAAGCACAGCACCGCAATAACGCTGCTTTATCGTGACTTACACGGGAATTGTAGCGTGCAGGGATGGCTGCACTACCTCCTGGAGTTGCGGAAATTCCTACAACCATCAATCCTCGCAGGAAGACACTAGCGTCGGCAGTGTCCGGTATCATACAGGAGACTGGCTTCCTCCACGCTGAAAAGGCCGCCTTGGGCACACTGACGGAGATGCTCCAGAGCTGTGAGTTAATTGTTCTTTACTTGTATTAAAGGTAAGGTAATGATTGAGTTTAGGGTGTTGCTTCTTTATTGGAGTTAATGTGCCAAAATGTGACATTTAAAAAAATATACAATTAAAAAATTTCTGTTGTATTCTGCTTGGTGGTAGATACTCGTACTAACAACTGTCATGCCAGCAGTGAAGGACATCTCGTTGTAAGTAATATATATTTTTCTGAACAAGAATAAAAAAAATATTAGCAGTTCCTGTGGTGTAGTGGTAAGACGCTTGCCTGGCGTTTCGCGAGCACTTTGGCCTGAGTTCGTATCCTGGCCGGCAAGGATTTGCCAGGTGCAAATCTTAACTGTAGCCTTTGTTTACCCAACAGTAAAATGGGTACCTGGTTCTTAAACGATTTAGAGGGGTCGTATTCAGGGAATATTAGGATTAAGGACTTGCCCGAAACGCTATGCATACTAGTGACTGTACAAGAATGTAAGAACTCTTGTATACAGGAGTTCTTGTATACAATATATAAAATATCAGTGAAGTTATGAAGAAATGTGATTTACTCTTATGGTTGCATCTTTAAATTTTCAAGGTAATGAAAGGTAAATTTATGAGTATTCAGCAATTTCCTCCTATTCAAAACGTTTGAGGTGAAGTGTTATGGTTTTCTGTTGTTGGGGATAGGAAGCCTGTATTTAGGCCCTTGAAGGTCAACCTTGGTTAAATACTGACCCTCCACAGGATGCAACCAACAACAATTTCCCAACTCCTACATTCCTAGGTACTGCTAAGTGAACAGGTGCATCAGGTGAAAGAAAACGTGCCTAACTACCTCTGTTCTACTGCGGGAAATAAACCCGGGTTCATCTGGTGTGAGCCGACAACATAGACCACTGCATTACAGATGTCTATATGGATGATGTGACTTAATAAGAGTTCTTTTACTCACCTGTTCTCTTAGTGAATGCACTATATATTTTTATGCAATTAGCCCAATTATAAAAACTGCAGTAGTTCAGGGAAATTAAAAATGCCACAATATTGATGCTTCCTGGAGCTAATGAGTATCAGCCCAATATATTAAGTGGGTGACCTAGATTTTGAGGCTTTTGATTTGGCTAAACCATTACATACCTCATGGAAAGAAATCAAGAGAACTGGTTCATTTGACAGTCATCAAGAAGGTTAGGTAGACTGCATTTTCCTTAGTTCACAAAGCTTTGATACTGTTGTACATAAAAGGGAAGTGAATAAGATGGAGAGACAAACTTAGATAACTGGAAAGACACTAAACTGGGTTATCTTCTTGAGGTTATCTTGAGATGATTTCGGGGCTTTTTAGTGTCCCCGCGGCCCGGTCCTCGACCAGGCCTCCACCCCCAGGATGCAGCCCGTGACAGCTGACTAACACCCAGGTACCTATTTTACTGCTAGGTAACAGGGGCATAGGGTGAAAGAAACTCTGCCCATTGTTTCTCGCCGGCGCCTGGGATCGAACCCAGGACCACAGGATCACAAGTCCAGCGTGCTGTCCGCTCGGCCGACCGGCTCCCTGGGTAAAGGAATACAATGGACAGAAAGCATAAGGTCATGGTCAGAGATATCAGGCTGGAGAGACGTGGCAAGTGAGGTCTCTCAAGGCTGTAAAACAAAATGAGTCAAATTCTATTAACCTATTTTTCTAACATACTATATGTTAGAACAACAAAATTCTACCATAGAGCAAGAAATTTATTGTAATACAGTACAGATTTTGCCTTTATCAACATGCTATGGCCATGAACTTGATGCACCTCAGTGACGGCAAGACAGGTGCTAGTGCGAGCCGTTACTCTTAGGTGGCGTGCAATTGGAAACTGGCTAATTTTGGATTAAAAATCCAAATAATAAATTAGTGATACTAAACTTGAATTTTTACATAATCCGCTTGTGTAAAATCTAAAATTATGGTTCTGCTGTATAAGTATATTATAGTTTTTAAGATGTAATTTCACCCAGGCATTCCCATGAATTGTATTATTGAAGTATAAAATTATGTACCGTATTTCCATTAATGTTTATTAAGGTCCTGTGGCATGGGAATAGAACGCACTGTTTCTCTTCATGCTAGTCTCCAGGAAATATTTTTGTTAATAGGCAGCAAATATGTTTGGTTAAAGAATACAATTTTGAAGTGTATGCTTTCTTTCAATGGTCAGTGAGCACCATATGCTACATCCACCTTCAACATTCTTTTTAAGGGAACTAATTTTTAAGAGATCCAAAAAACAAAATTTAGGTAAGTTTGGTCAAGTTACACCACTTGTGTCCTTGCCCCCACTACCCACATGTCTACCCACACTGTAACTCAAAATTCAACCCCCAGCCACTACCTCCATTATAAGTCCAGTCATCACCACACATCATATTCCCACACCTGCCCCACCATTTCCTCATGCCATCCTCAGACACCTACTATATGCCCACCACCCACACCTTATGCCCACATTACCTACACCCTCTTACCTTATGCCCACATTGCCCACACCCTCTTACCTTATGACCACATCACCCACACCCTCTTACCTTATGCCCATAGTTGCTATAGTTGGTTTCTTCTGTGGTGTTTGGTTTGCCAGTTCTTGGTGACAACATGTCTTCCTGTGGATCCTGGGATTTAGTGGCATTCTGAGTATTGTACCTTGCCCCCTCACTTTGTGTGTTTCCCCTTGCTTCTCCGAGCTTCTTACCCTCTGCCTTTCTGGCTCTGGGCTGGATACACTGGGTGCCCTGTGCTCTGCAGGCTTCATCTTCTCTGCCTTACGAGTAGGGTACCTTGCACTGTTTGGCATCTGTCCCAGTTATTTGGGCATTGTTTCACTCTTTTTCAGCTTGGGGGCCCTCAGTTTCACTGTCTTATGCAGGTCACTGTAAGGTACAAGATGGGTCTCTCTCTTACAACACAGCTATTGGGTTCTGACATTCTGGTTTGGTGGCCAGTTTCCTGGGATGTGGTCCTGGCTTCCTGGTACCCATGCCCAGTTTGGGTTGTGTGCTGCGACACCAGGAGCACAAAACCCAAATGTTTTTGTTACTCATTTTGCCAGCATCTGTTATTTGGGGTTGGGATTTACTTCTGCGTTTTGTTAGTGAGATAGGATAGTGGCCGGGGTTGTCATCTGATGTCAGTTGGGGGACATCAAGGTTAGAGTTGCTTGTTAGTAGCAATGTGATTGTTTGCCTTGTTTGTCTCAGGGGTCATTTCTTTCTTTCAAGCAGTTGCTTGTTTTATGTTGCTTAACCTTTCTGGTTGGGTTTTCTCGTTTTTGGTGCTCATCTCTAATCTCCAAAGCATCACTGTCCTCCTAGAGGAAGCCAGGTTTTGTTTGAGACTCTGTAGGCCAGCATGGGTTTAGAGAGGCCTATTGTGATTCCGAAGGCTTGTTTATATCCGTGCACAAGCTCCAAAGATCTACTAAAGGCCAAACAGAAAAGGGTGTTTCATTACATTCAATGCTTTACTTTTTTATTATTCCTAATCATGTTCAATACACTCTGTTTACAATTATGATAGTTTATCCTTCTTTTCTGTTTCACATCATTGATCACATCCTTTTTCAGCAATACTGTATATAAAGAACACAATAAAGAATATGTAGCATCAACTAGGATAATTATTGGGTAGATAACAAACTTTTAAAACAAGGGAAATACATCATTGTAGGTGAGAATGTATAGTATAACTTTACTAACAGAAAACAGTTGACCAGGAGGTGTGATGGCCCACCTTGCGATTATTTCAGGGTTTAGTGTCTCTGTGGCCTGGTCCTCGACTAGGCCTCCTGGTCGAGGACCTAAAAGCTTTTCTAACACACAAAATCTTGATAGTCTGGAATGTGGTTTCCACTTCACCCAGTTGTCTTAGTAGATTGGTATACAGGTGTCTCTCTTTTTATTCCTACTTTTAGGTCATTGAGTGGAATGAAATGCTCCTTTCAGAGTTTTACCTTGGTCGTTTCCCCAGCCATGGCCATGAATCGGCATTGATCCTCTCTGAGACAAGTAATTTTACAAGTGGTCTTGTCCCATAGATTGGCGAGTCCATTGGAAAACCTACTTCAATCCACCACTAAGAGAAACCACTTTCTATGAGACCAAAGAATATATCAAACCACTCACCACCACTTTTAAACAATCATTGGGACAACAATGAAAGCTAATTATCATTGAAATTATATGAACAAATCCATAAGGGCCGTGATGAGGGTCCGAACCTACGACAGAGAGGATCCCAGACGCGCCTTAATCGACTGTGCCACGACACAGCTAAAAGAATTGCAACCGGGAGTTCAACTGACCTCACACGGATCCTGCAGTCTCTCCGAGACACAAACCAGGGTTTTACACAATTCCCCCCATGCTCCCGGGGGAATCCACCGCTTGTGAATTTGTTCATTTGATGCATCACGCTATTGTGATTTCTGTGTGTATTGAAATTACATACAGAAATTTAAGTTATATGGCATTATAAAACCTGCTAGCAAAATGTGTTTCTATTTCAGTAATATATGAGATTGGTCGTAGCAGTAAAGCATACAGTGAACAGGCATATCGAACAGAGCCTGTTGTTGCTGATGTGGTTATGGCCCTGGTAGATATGGGCATTAATCTTGAGGGCTTACAAGTAAGTACAGCATCATTGTTCAGGTGTTGCATCAGTTCTCTATAACTTTATAAATATAGTTACTCCATTACTAATTTTTCTTTAAAAATTTAGGCTTTCCTGGCATTCACAGCTTGCTAATGTTATTTCTGGTCTGGCCCACCCCTCACCCCATCCCCCTCAATGGCTTCCCTTGGCTAATGTCAGACATGTTAGAAAGACAGTATAATACCAGACATGCCAGGCTCCTGGGAAAATCTCTGCCTCTCAACAGGGTAGAGATTTTTGTGTTCAGATTGTCCTAATGACATAAACTAAGAGGAACCACTGAGATGCTACTCAAAGTGGATGTCATTACACTCAATGAGAAACATATTTTAACTGTCAAAAAACACCAAAGAAATGACTTTGCAATATTATGTGTTGGCTCTGTATTTAAACAAATAAAATAATTGAGTTTTAATTTATAAATTATCATGTAGAGTTGATTAGAAAGTATTCAATATTTTTGTTTTTGCTTTCTTGGAAAGGATCCCTTAAAAAAGATAGAGTATATGTAAATAATGGCTCACCAAAATGTGCAGTCATTGGCAAGTGGTATAAACTGCTAAGTAGCATTATTGAAGGAAATACACTAGAAATCCTTAAAAATTGGATACACAAATACATAGCCAAAACAATTGGGTTTAAATAGGACCCTAGCATGTGGGCAAGTGATCCTACTACATTACTGTTTTCCTTTCTTATGTTCTTGTTTTCAACAAAATAAAAACTTTTGTAGAAGCATATTGGAGAAAGGGAACGAAGGAAAATATAAAGGAAAGTGGCTGATTTGGCAGTTGATGCAAACTTTATATATTTTTACATTGAAAATATGGTCCTAGCTGGGCAGGGGATGAGATAAATTATTACTGAGTGAATTGCTATAAAGTAGTACTGTGTTGGTCTATTTTCATGGAACCTTCTTATTAACAGGCATTTAGGCTACGTCCAAATAGAGTAGTTATTGCTGCTCCAGCTCAGCAGGTTGATCTGAAGCAACACAATGTGCTGCAAGTAGGAGACAAAAAGTCACACCCACAGCACATCCCTGATCATCTTCCACCGTTTCCTGATACTCACACTTACTGGTATGTATCAGTTAGCTGTTTTTAGTTCTCTTATGTTGTACTATGGGCTTGTTGTTCTGCCCCCATAAAGGTGGCCTGGCCTAAAGCTTGGTGTGAGAGTTTAAACTAGTTTCCTTATACTCCCTTTTGGTTCCTGGTTTCCAGATCCAGCAGCACCTATCCACAGGCTGGAGTTATGCTGCACTCTTTTCTTATTTTGAATATGAAGCCTTCTCTTTTCTGCCTTGTATAGATATAATGCTCAGGCCTATAATTGATGCCAATGTGATGATTTGTAATAAATATTTTGTCCTGCCTGATTATTGGCCAGCTTGGCAGGATTTGTTATTATTTTTATTATGGAACAGGGATCGTGTGTCTGAAACTTAGCCTGCTCATTTTGAGTTTGGGTCCTTGGGTGCTTCTCTGTCTTTGGTATCAGGGAGGAGTGGAGGTTTTGTAGGGCTTTAATTTTGTATAAATGAGCCACTATCAGTTATTGTGCACTGGAAGGAACTCTTCACTTGCAGCTTGTATGATCCTACATGAATGATCTGAAAAAACCACTGCTGAAATAGTATAGCATGCTATCATGGTTGACTTTTAAATGCTCCTGTCTACTGGGCACAGGAAAACTTTCATTAGGAAGCTGCAGAATGCTCTACTCTAAAAGGGGCTTTTCATATTACTCGTAGCCTGCTCTTTGTGTGTATCATAATTCTGAGTACAGTATTAAATTGACTGATGATAAATATACAACTAAGCACTGTACTATGCATGCATTTGTGTCTAATAATTGCTTTTCTCTCCAGCTTCTCACACACGTACAAGCAACCAGTGACAGAATATGAAGCTATCCGTGAAAAGGCTGCTGCTCAGAAGAGAGACATAGAAAGGGCATTAACGAAATTTGCTGCCAAAACCAGTGAAACGCAGAATCTCTTTTTCACAGATGACAAGGAATTTATGTGTTAGTTATATTCTGCTATTTATACAGTACAGTATTTATTCTTGGCATTGTTTACACTTAACCTTACATCTTTAATGTGTGAGTTGATATGTTCAATATACAATATACTGTATATGTGTGTAATTACCTAAGTGTAATTACAGGATGAGAGCTACACTGGTGGCGTCCTGTCTTCCCAGTACTGTCATACGACGCTTTGAAATTACTGATGGTTTTGGCCTCCATCATTTGTTCCAACTGTCTACCACTCTTGAGAAAATTCATTTGGGGCAATGAGGTGACAAACTGATGTTCGCTTGTTCTATCACGGTCTATTACATTAAGGCAGGTGTCTGGGAATTGCTAGAATGCTGGTTTAAATCACCTCATTCCCCCAAATTATTATCTTGTTCATATATCACGCCATTGTGATTTCTTTGTGTGTGTGTCTACCACTATGTTTGCAAAAGTGAGCTTTCTAATGTTTTTTTTCAGCAGATTTGCTTCCTTGGTTTGAATCTGCTTTATTGTTAAGTTCCAGGTTTAAAGAATTCATCTTTGTCAATATTTTGTATTTAGTGATCATTTGACCTCTTTTTCTTCTATCATTTAGCTTTGTATATTTAACACCTTTAGCCTCTCTTTATAGCGTGTTTTTCAGTTTCGGAAATCTTTCAGATGCGTGTCTTTGCACCTTTTCCAGTTTCTTGATGCGCTTCTAGAGATATGGGCACCATACAACCGCTGCATATTCCAATTTTGGTCTCACAAAGGTCATGAACAATATTTTCAATATTTCACCATCCATGTATTTAAAAGCAAATTTCTAAGGTTGGAAAGCATAGCATACACTCCTAGCACAGTCTTCTTCGTGTGGTCCTCAGGTGACAGTTTTTTTTTATTTAGGACCACCCCTCGATCTCTTTATCAGAGTTCTTTAAAGCCTTTTCTCATAATTTGTATGTGGGTGTGGCCTATTTTATCCTATTCCATATTCCATAACATGACATCGATTCTCATTAAATTTCATCAGCAAAGTGTTGCTCCATATATTTATTTTGTCCAGGTTATCTTGAAGGGCATGGCAATCGTTTAAGTTTCTTATCGTCCCTAGTATTTTAGCATCATCAGGAAACGTGTTCATACAACTCGGTATTCCTTCTGGTAGATCGCTTATATAGACAATGAACATTGCTGGTGCTAGAACTGAACCCCGTGGTGCACCACTTGTAACATTTTTCCAGTCTGACATATTGCCTCTGATTACCTCCCTCATTTTTCTGTCAAACTTTGTCATCTGTGTCTGAAGCCTCCCTGTCACTCCAATATGTTCCACTTTTCAGAATCTCTTATGCTGGACACTGTCAAAAGCTTATTTTAGGTTCAAATAAATACAGTCAACCCAACCATCTCTTTCTTGCAAAATCTCTGTGGCTATATCATAAAAACTGTATCATAGATTTGTTACACAGGATCCTCCTGTTCGAAAGCCATACATATTGTCTGCTATTAAATCACTTCTCTCCAGGTGTTCTACTCATTTAATTTTAATTATTTTCTAGTGTTTTGACTACCATGCTTGTCATTGATACAGATCTATAGTAAAGAGGGTCTTCTCTGCTACCATTTTTGTAGATTCAAACTGTTTGCCTTTACCATATACTACACTGTATTTGTCAAGACTCCTGTAGACAAAGATGACTGAAAAATCAACTGAAGTGGAGTGCTCAGCACAGATGCACATTCTCTTAGAACTCAAGGTGAAATTTCATCTGGACCAACTTCATTTGTTTCTACCTAACTCCTAGTTTGCATGTGGGTGTGCGCATACATACACATGTACAGTATACTGTGTTGAGTCAGATTATATATTACTTATTATTAAACCATTGCTGTTGTAAGTTTGGTATCTGATTAACTACTTTGGTATTAAATAGTTAACCATAATGCCTCTGCATAAGTCAGCTACAAAGGTTAACAGTACATTACTGCATACTGTTCCCATACATATCTTATACCAAATAAGACATCTTATTTACCAAATATATATACCAAAATATATACCTTATTTACCATATACAGTATACCAAAGAAGTATCTTTATACCTTCTTTCTTAACAAGGTAGTTATCAGGAAAGAGTACTTAAACCAATGTGGCTATATAGTACTGTACTTGGAAGGGATATTAATATATGAATTAGGAATAGGACGCAGGAAAGGAATGGTGCCCGACAACTTAAGACGGGTTACAATTGAACACCGCTCTGCAAGAAACGAGACCGTCACTCTACCATCCAGTCCAAGTGGTTGGGGCAATAGTAGTCCATTGAGACAATACTGTAATTGAGAAATGTGCTATGGACAAAGGGACAGAAAGTGTGGAGGAATTTGCTAATGAGTGATTATTATTGGGCGATTAATTCAGTGAGAAAGAAATACAAATTTAATAACTGTATATACTGTACTGTAAGTACTCTACTTTTATTTGGAATGAGCAAAATAGGTACGAATACAGCCATTTCCACTTGTTAACAGTCATAAGATGATTATGTAACCAGTGTACTATGTTGGTTTAGCTATGCATTGTAATGAATCTGTTTCTTAATCTGTAATAAGAATATATATTTTTCTGATTTTATTTGAAACTTTAATGTATTTAGGAGACTGTCAATTTAAGTTATTTTCTTAAATTTTAGTGGTAGGAGTGACACCGAATCCTAAGGCATACCTAGATGCCTTGATGCCCAGAGACCAGGTGTTTGAAGAAGAGGAGGAGAGAACAAGAACAAAGAAGCGAAGAATAATGAATGAGGATGGGGATCCAAATCAGGCAAGTATTAATAATTTTAATTGGCAAGCGTATAGTTGTTATTAAAACTTTTATAGTTAGAAATTGGACTGGCTTATTTTTCTTCACTTAGGGATTTCTACCCAACAAAACCTGTAGAAGATGCCTTAAACATACAATACCACTTCTTAGATTCACACCTTATACCAACAGCCTCATGTTTACACAACACTTGAACATGTGACTGTATGATATCATACGCAAGGTGTCAGTACTCTCTATACTGGCACAGAAAACTCTTTGGCTTAGAATTTTAATGAATACCATAATTAGTTGCCCATGTAACTTAAATTTAAAACCCCTGATGTTTAAAAGATGTTGTACAATAAAGTCTGCCCCTTTCAAACATTCGGTACTTCATTTTCAGTTACAACAGGCAGATACACCCTGCAAACATACAACTTAGCAGTCCCTATAATTCCCTTGTTGCAACTTATAAAAACATTATAATAAGATGTAACAACTTTATTACGACGTATTAGAACGTTGTTACAACTTGATATATTTGTTGATACAATTGTTAGGTGTTAAACCTTGTTCAAACATTGTAGCAGTGTCATAGTTTCATTGTGTTTGGCTGGCAGTAATTATTACAATATTTGTTTGTTTTGTATGAGGATGTATTCTGTAATTAATATCTTGTTAAGCTGTGCAACTTTTTGTACATATAGAGACCCAGGCAGTGTCATAGGTTTCATAAGTGAAGATGAGTAGGATATAGAAGAATATAATGAATGATACACTGTGAGCAGTGAGAGTAAAGTGGAGATGGAGTGTGTCAGGGGTGAGGATATCATGCCAGCCACTAACTACACAGGAAGCATGTCACCACTTTCTTCCCCACCATGTGACCTGACATTTGCCACTTGTCACTTGATAAGGATCTACAAAAATCCATGAATTTAGCTGGTCATTCTAAGCTAGATTGATTATTCACCTTAATGTAGGAAGATTTTGCATGTAACAGTAGTACCAGTGGAGTGCATCATAACTGACTTTGCATGATCCTGTCATAAGGGCTGAATTTTTTCGTCAGGAGCAGCAGAATGATCCACTCAGGAAGGTGTTTTGTGTAACTCGGTCTTACTTTTGGGCGGGCCCCCATGAGAGCTTCCCGAGCTGGTATACTGGTAACTGGTATACTTGTCAAATTCTTGCTGTCTTTTGATGATTGTTTGTCGTATCCTCAGTATGACCCCCTTTCCCCAGGCTCTTACAATTCATGATCGCCTACTAGAGACCAGTACATTATCAAAATCTGGTCTGCTAAATAATGGAAAAAAAATTGCGGGATTTAGGATCACTACAGTAATTAAGAGAAGGCCCACCAGAAAGGCAAAATGCACCAGAACAGACAACTGCATGAATGTATTTGTAACACTGATCCTATACATATACTTAGCAGATAGCAAACCTGGACTGCCAACCACTTATGCACCATGTGGTGCCCTGCCCAGTACTCTGCAGCTCTGCTGTACCCACTTTTTTCTTCTTTTCAAATAAGTGTCGGCCTTCCTTTCAACTTTGTCCAATAAAGAGGCTTTTTGTTTCTTTTTGCTTCATGTGCATGTATTGTTCATCAGTGTGTGCACCCAGATCTAGTACTTGCTACAACTGCATGGAGCCAGGGGTTCCCTTCCTTTGTTTCCTTTAGCTATATCCGTCTTAACCACGGCTAGCTTTTCTAAAGAGGTTCAGGTGTCGATTCTTGGAGCTGCTCCTCTTTAATTAAGGACATTTTTCATCTGCAAGGCCCATTGGTAGTTGTAACCTTCCTTGTGAGCTTTGGCTGCCATCTTGCATTTCTTACATGACATGACAGATGTGTCTGGTGTTTTATCTATGGTAGCATACCCTTTCCTTTGCTGTGTGCTCACAAGTCAAGAATTGGGGGTGGGGGGTGTTTTTGAAGACTTCTAGCACCCAGTCTCTCTGCCCAGTCTCTTCTGGAAGCAGTTGAAGTTTCCTCCTGCAGGCCTGTGGTTGGAGGCAAGCACAGCTACCTCCTTCAATCCTGTTGTAATTATGCGTTCCATATTACAATAGTATTTTTTTATATCCCTATACAAGTACTGCTCGATGTTCTTTTCTGGATGCCCTAAAGTGACTTTCCCGGATGTTTATCATTCCTTGTGGTTCCTGCTGAACACTTCCTCTTGGGAACTTAATAAAGCTCAAATAAATCCTATTAATCACTTTACCATTATTATATCTTTACAGGAAAAAGATCGAATGACAGAGGCACAGGAAGCAGAGTTGGATAACCCATACCTCAGACCAGTCAAGATGCCCCGTAAGCCTAAAATCAAGAAATGAATGGTGGTATCCACATGTTTATTAATAGTCTTTATTTTGCACTGTAGATCATCAAAATCAAAGTAATTTCCTATGGCTCTGCCAACTTTAGAAATATTTAATTTGTTAGATGTTAGCTATAAGCACAATGATTTTTCAAATCACATAAAATAATTATTTTTAATGATTCCGCCTTATGGTTGTGATGGAAGGCACAAGGGAAGGGAAGGGAACTATCAGGGGGGAAAGCGCCAAGCCATTACGACTATATAGAAGGCACAAGGAAAAGTTTAATTTTTGTTTATCTTGCTTTGGATATTATTGTTTTTTTTTTTTTATTATCAGGGGAAGGTGCCAAGCCATTACAACTTTATAGCACTTGAAAAGGGTTAAGATAAGGATTTGGAATAGAATTGGGGGGGGGGGGGAGAGAAGGAAGGAAGGAATGGTGCCCAACCACTTGGACAGTCTGGAATTGAACACCGGCCTGCACGAAGCTAGACCGTCCAGTCAAAGTTGGCTTTGGAATTTTTTAAATATAAAACTTTAAATGAGAATTACAAATCTTAGACAACTGTTTTAGTCGAGATAGCACTATAATGGAGTTTACTAAACTCGGTATTGGTGTAAGTACAGTGGAACTTTGATTAACGAATTTAATCCGTTCCGGCACCGAGCTCGTCATGTGAAATACTCGTCTTTCAAAATGAATTTCCCTACTTAAAATATTGGAAATAAAAATAATCGGTTCCACCACCACTGAAAAACATCAATATGATATTCAATTTTTTAAATAATGAAGCAGCCTACCTGGAACACACTGAACGAATCTTTTTGACATTTGTTCTTTCTTCAAATTTTTTCATTTTTTTTTATTCTACAAAAAAAATTCAATGCTTTGCAACATCACAGCAGTCACCCCCTTTACATCTTGGCAACCTTAAACAAAATATATAATTTATTTGCATCGTCAGAGGCGTCCGAGAATGTGCTAGAAGCAGCGGGCACGCACCATGTGGTTTTCTCATCAATTTGTCCAATCGAGACAAATTGTTGGCAATTGGCGCGCTCGTTATTCAAAATGCTCGTAAATTGAGGTGCTCATCACTCGTGGTTCCACTGTATACAATACTAAGAGTATTGAAAATATGAAAACTTTGAGGGTTAACCTGTTTATTATTTAGTTAAGTGAAATGCAACAATGTGATAATTTACGTTTGTGTCGACATTTTAATAGATTTCAATGAATACAGTTTCTTCATTAAAACAGTGTTTGAATGAAGAAATGTTGGGCATATGGTTCCAATAGCTCATTGGTAATTAGAAAATATTGAGAGCCATGCAATGGGATTGAACTCACATCCCTGAAGCTCATTGGTGTGTCTCAGCAATCATGGCAGACCACAAAATAATTTAGTCAAGACAGTTAAGCTTTTCGTCTTTCACGAGCGTACAGAGTACAGTAATGACCATAGCACTTACCTGGGCCAACAACATAATGTAAAAGATTATTGTGGTACTGTATTACTTTTGCATAGATAATACATTTTTTTAACATTTCATATGAAAAATATTTATTTGATAAGTTTTGTTTGATCCTGGATGCATCACAATGTAATTCTAACAATTCTAGAAAAAAAGTTTTGACCACTGCCCAGGCCAAAGTAAAGGCACATTACTTTTTCTCCCATTCTTTTGAATATAGATGTACCATTTCATACAAATAAGTAAAATAATTATCTATTTTTCTGCTCAGTCAGGGGTGGCAATTTTGATGATAGCGGCACTTTTAAGTGCGTTCCAGTGCCGGTTTTTAAAAAGGTTAAATACTGGTGTGGTTGTACTCAATAATTTAACAAATTGTCAGGCTCATTATGACTTATTTTAGAAACAAAAATTTGTAATATTTTAACAGAATATATTGGAGACAATCCAGTGTTGCATTTTCTCCCTTCTTGTACATTGTTGAAAATTATTGAAAAGATTTATATTTGATACAAAATCGAGTTTCTTGTTTTAAAGTTTCCTTCACTCAATATTTTGAAAGGTAGCTCATACATAATTATGCTGTGCAGCTAACATAACAACCCCCTGGTGCACAAGGAAAAATTTTCTTTTTCTTTCTAATAATGTTAAGATGCATTTCCAGATCATAGGAAAATAATAATACAAAACTGTAGGTGGCTTACTTTGGCTATGTTGAAACCTGGAAATCTCTCAATGTCTCAATTCATGAGCATTCATTTAGCAAGCTGTGAGGCAAGAAATGCTGCAAATATATTGTTTACATATTCCAATGTTTCTGATCAGTTTTGAATGTATTCAAAATCTATAATTTCATGTTATATTTTGATACAAAACATATGATTTATAAATCATAAGTCAAATCTTAGAGAACTTTCAACGTGTGCTCCATCTGAAACTCTGCATATTTCAAATCTAACCTTAGCATTGCAAAACACATATAGTATTGTATGTTTTTAAAAGACGAGCATAGTTGTTGGTATGAAGGGTGTGCACACACTACTCTGGCAGACAACACAAAGTGGGTTAAGATATACAGTACAGTGGAACCTCTATTAACGAGTTTAATCCGTTCTGGCACCGAGCTCGTTACCTGGAAAACTCGTCTTTGGAAACAAATTTCCCCATTTAAAATAAAGGAAATAAATTTAATCTGTTCCACTCCCAAAAACATCCATACTTGTATGACATTTTTTAATGTAAATATAATACTGCACATGTAATTATAAATGTTTTGTTGTACTATTTTAATGTTTACTTTACCTTATGAAGAGTCGTTGCTGGCTTGAGGGAGACACTGGGGAGGTGGGAAGGAGGAGAGGGGTTATGGTGTGGAAGGAGAATCCACCTCTGAGTCAGGCGGGCTCTCTCTTCTTGGGATTTTCACCCCACTGGGACCAGGTTGTGGTTCACTATCACTGGCTCTTCTTTTCTCTACTTTTGGAAAGAACTTTTCTATTGACAATTGCTTTTGTCTTTGTTTTAGGATGTCCCTAAAACGAGACAGCAAATTGTCATTAAACATACTCACACACCAGGTTGTCACTGCTTGATCAGGGTGATGTCAGTGGAAGAGGCAACATCCTCCCTTACCTCCTCATTCTCTTACTAATGGTGTAAATTGTTGATGAGGACCTGCCATACTCCCTTGTGAGATCAGTCACACAGACACCACACTCATGCTTTGCTATAATTTCCTTATTCAAATCCACAGTAATTGTATCTTTCTTCCTCTTGACAACACTATCTTTAGCAAGCAGCTTCTTTGGAGACATCGTGTGTTACAAATTGTAGTCGCAAAACCACTAAAAACCCAAAGAAAAGTGCAAATAAATCCAGAGGGATGCTTGTCGTGTGAGATACAACAACAACACTGGCGTCTTGGGCGTCCGAGAATGTGTGAGAACCCGCGAGACGCTAGGAAGCACCATGTGGTTTCGCTCGTTAATAGAGGCGAGCTCGTCAATAGAGACAAATTTGCTGCGAGTGGCTTGCTCGTTATTGGAAAAACTCGTTAATAGAGCCACTCGTTAATCGAGGTTCCACTGTACCTCACATATCGCTAATTCTAAGCAATGTTGCTATTATCATCAGCAACCTGTTGACAAATGTGTAATGATAAATTTATATAATATAATGTGTATAATACTGGTATACTCAATATGATGTGCACATTAGCAACAAGATTATTCTTAAAACAAGAAAATAGTAATTTTGCTGTTATTACACTATTTATACATACAGTATCTACATTTTTCTTCACCATAACAAACCACTAAGCTGATCTGATGAGCCCACACACAGCATAGCGTCAACATACTTGTCAACTGATGCGACACTACCTGACCCGACATAATGCCTCCATAACTGATGCCTATCGCTAACTCTTCGACACAATATTGCTATTATCAGTAACCCGGTCGGTAAATCCTTAATATGAATAATTTTTGTGCAAGTTTATTTTCTAAAGGAGCACAAGGTCGTTTCGTGATGCAAAGATGCACGAAGCCTCTGTCGTGTGCTATGATTGCCGCCTCCTGTGATCATCATTACTAGCATTGTGTTCACTTATATCAACCTTGTACATAGCGCAGTATAGAAGATTCTAATAAAAACGATCATTGCAAAATAACAGCAGTTACATATATATTTCCTCAAATTTAAGTCATGCTCTAGTCACAGGCTGAACATAAGTGCTGTTAGCTTGTACTGCTTGCACCAGTCATGGTTGCTCACTCAATACTGAGGCCCTCAAACCCAACAATGGTAAGTAATTATCAAAAAAGGTAACCAAGCCAGAGAGACTGTAGTACCATCAAATTTTCAAAAGAAGCTAAATATCACTGAGGATGCCAATACAAGAACAAAAAACACAAGGCGAGCAATATCAAAGGTATTGAACTTCCCAAGGATTCTGTCGAGGGACATTAGGAAATATTCAAAGTAAAAGGAAATGGCAGAATTACAATATGCAGTTTATATTTAATGCCAAATTTGACAAGCCATTGTGGCCAATACAAAAATAGTTTATATTCAGAGTAAGAAAAAAAAAATTACAATGCAAAAAAATAGTGTAATTTTGTACATTATACAAAATACAAAAAAAATTATATTTCAGTGTTATGTTTAATTACCATCAAGTAAAAATTTGACATCGGGAATGAAAGACCATAGATCTATTCAAGGAAATTCTGTAAAGTTGCAAGTAAAATTAAGTGTTATATTTAAGTACTCACAATAAATTAAAGAAAAGAGCTATGACTGTATCAACAATAAATAATAACCATAACTTTTCAGCTAAAGCTTTGACTTTACAGCCAAGAAAAACATAAGTTACTCTGCATTACATTTAATTTCCTCGAGATGCTTTAGAACATTTTCTAAACACTCAGCTGTACATAATTTTAATGTACTTCAACTCTTAATATATGTATACTCATAAGACAATAAGCAACATCTGGTCAAAAATATTTTAATATCAGACATCAGAAAGTTTAAAGTGAAGCTCTTTACGTTGATGTTCTGTAGATAAAAAGTGATTCTGAAGGGTCATCAGTGTTTCAAGGAAAACACAGCACACAGGGCAAGTTGCATTCACTTTTGAAAATGGCAGGCTTCCTGAAGTTGTCAATCTAGGAAAAAAAGGGGAACACAATGTTTACTGAGCAGATTACCAAGTCAGGTATTTCCCACAATACAAAATATGGGTGGATTGGAGTACAGTAGGAATGTACGAGGAAATACGATGGGTGGGTACAGCCGGCCATGTGGTCGAGGGTTTGAATGAGTGTGGGTGTAGGCACATAGTTTGCAATGAGTGGGGTAGACGTGTGGTTGGGCTATGTCTAATAACTCTTGTTCCTAGTGCTTTCATACCTCTGATGCTTTAGTACTCCATTGTATTTGTTTTTGAAGCTGTGAATAAAGCTGGTTTCCTCGAATCTCAGGCCTAAAGCTCTATCCTTACTGAGTATAGGTATTTTCTAGTATCTTTGGCTCAAATTGTATTTTCAATTTCCACCTGTTGCCTCTTCATTCAATTTTCTCTAATGTGGAAAAGGATCATCTATTTCCCTCAGTATTTTAAACCTTACGATCACATCTCTACAGTACTCCTCTCTTCTAGTGTCATTATACTGAATTATTTTAGCCTGTCATCACAGCTGTTATCTCTTATCTGTAGTGCTGGTCTCAAATCTATAGACTAAAACCAAAATCATTGTGCTTCACCAGGAGGCAATAACATAGTATATGGAACACGTTAAGTGTACTGTATGGCCAATCAAGAAATATCCGCTAGACCAGATTTGTGGTACAGTACTGATAAACATAAAAAGACAAAATTTGTATTTTTTACACATGCCAGGGTCCACTCAAATGTTACTTGTAACTTTTTAAAATAGCCTCAATATCAGAGTCAGAGAAATGGGAAGCAGAGCTCATAACCTATATCTTGAGGTTATCTCGAGATGATTTCGGAGCTTAGCGTCCCCGCGACCCGGTCCTCGACCAGGCCTCCTTTTTGTTACACATCCCCAGGAAGCAGCCCGTAGCAGCTGTCTAACTCCCAGGTACCTATTTACTGTAAGGTAACAGGCGCATCAGGGTGAAAGAAACATGGTGCCCATTTGTCTCCGCCTCCACCGGGGATCGAACCCGGAACCTTAGGACTACGAATCCGAAGCGCTATCCACCCAGCTGTCAGCCTGCTCATAACCACAGAGATAACACCAAAAAACAGATCTAAGCTCTGAGCACCAACTTTAAGTGATTTGGCAACTCAAGGATAGCCAATTACCTGTATCATTACAATCTTCTAAGCAAACTAGCCACTACCAGGTGGTAGTCAGGGAAGCCAGCTAACTTCATTTTTTATCTGATGTTTTCTGATCTCCTCTATACCTATACCATCCTAACATTCTAACCCATAAAAATACAACACATTCCCTATTTCACAGAACAGATTATCTATACATCAGTCTAACCCAGTTTCAAGTATTCATCTTACAAGCCAACAATTACTCATCTTCTCCAGGTGCCTAAACAATTGTAAAGTGTCAGTCTTGACCGACTACATCACTACCATTCAACAGTTCAAAAAAGAAAGATTGTTATTATTCCTACTAGCCTACATATATCACATGCATTTATTTTTACACACAGAATTTTAGAAAGTGAAAATAGCATTCAATATGAAGTTTTGGCAAAATCTAACAGAGCACCAGATGTTGTTGTTGTAATGAGTGTAGTCAAATATGAACCACAAGTGAAGGAAAGAAGGTACCTTCTTTACTTCACAAATGCACATGTGCATTGGTAATAAAATACACACAAATGATTAACAATACCTCTTTTGAAGGTCCTTCAATTCATTCAGCTTACTGAGAATCTTCTCGTTGAGGTCGTCCGGTCGAAGGAATATACCACAGTGCAAAGGAAATGCTAAACCTTCGGACTCATCAAGAACTCCATTGGTATTGGGATACAAGATATCTTCCTCCGGCACCTGTTTAACAATAAGTAATGAAATATACATAAGCTGTAAGAATTATTATAGTACTGTATAGTAATTACTAATACAATTTTTAAAATGGGTGTAGAGGTGCCATTGTGCACTGCCTTGAAGCCTTTAAATGTTATCTACACTGATAAAATAAAGATTCATTCAGAAATTTGGCAATGTCAGAAGAGACCATTTTTAAAAACCAATTTAACTTCACCTGTAGGACAGGTCACCTATGTCTCACATAAATTTCCCTTTGGAAATTTGATAAAATAATTTTTGTGGGTTCAAAATACAGAAAATCAGACTGCAAACGAGGGCACACCTCTAAGAAAACAGAAAACTTGCCCGGAGAGATAATGCAGCCCAGGACCCAGGGACCAAATCTAAACAACAAAAATCCACCCACTATATATTTTTTAATTACCTGCCACCAGTTTCCCGTCTTGCCAAGACACGAGGCATGCATGCAATATGGACTTGTGATACTGCGTGTAAATACCCAGTGTTCAGAAACACAAATATTGTATGTACCTCAGAAAACAACCAAGTTTACCAGTTGACATCCACTGCTTATAAGGGATGTGAAAATGAATAAAAGAAGTTACTAAACAGTTTGTAAATTCTAAAACATCTGCACCAAGAATAAAATAATTTGTTTAAAAATCAGTTGAATATTGGGACAAATGTTTGTGGGTAATGACAACAGCAAGGTCATGAGTAACATTCTTGGGGTGAAGTGGCTCTGGTGGGCTGGACAGTGTGCAGCTCTGCATTCCACTGGGGACCCAGACGCTAAGATGTTACACGACCAAAGAACACATTCACTCCAAACATCTACCACCTACGGGCTACTCATGCTCGTGCAACCTCTTGTGGTGGCTTAATCTTCATCAATCAATCACTGGGTCTGTTTCCTTTGAGGTCCCCTGCTAACAAGAATGTACTCAAATATTCGAATGTTGTGTTTTATATTGTTTTATCAGCTAGAATAGGATTTTTATTCAGCTATTTTGTACCAATGTTGTTGGCTTACATTTTCCTTGCCTAAGCTTCCACTGATATGTGGTGTGCCTATGCTAGTCTATGAATTTGTGTTCTTAATCTTATTGTTTTGTGAGGCATATTGTGTGTTATCTATTTCATTGATATTATTGTCAGATTTGGCAGACTGGTAATTATGTATTTCATAAGTATTTGTCATACTGAGGTTACTAGTTTAAGAAGCTAACCCATTAGTCAAACCCTTTGATGGTTAAATCCTCCCTTTGATGCTTTATTCAAATTTATTCAATTCATTTATAGTGGTTATTAAATGTTTTTTCTATGCATAAAATATATATATTTGAAATAATAGTTATAATGATAAACACCACAAAATTAAAAGATCCTATAAATTTATATACCGTATTTAAAACAAAACTAATTCCAACTTACCCTTCGCCAGTAGTAAGGTCTAGAAAAATTTTCAGGCTCCCTGTATTTCCTTTGCTCATCCAATAACCTGGAATACATTATGTCATTATTATATTTTTATTATTTGCAGTCTCCGTGGTGCAGTGGTAAGACACTCGCCTGGCGTTCCGCGAGCGCTATGTCATGGGTTCGTATCCTGGCCGGGGAGGATTTACTGGGCGCAATTCCTTAACTGTAGCCTCTGTTTAACGCAACAGTAAAATGTGTACTTGGATGAAAAAACGATTCTTCGCGGCAGGGGATCGTATTCCAGGGACCATAGGATTAAGGACTTGCCCGAAACGCTACGCGTACTAGTGGCTGTACAAGAATGTAACAACTCTTGTATATATCTCAAAAAAAAAAAAAAAAAAAAAAAAAAAAAAAAAAAAAAAAAAAAATGCTGGCAAGCTTTGTGTTAGGGGAAAAAAAAATCCATGTATAATACTTTAGATTTAAGATACTTTAAAGCAAGATCTCCACTGTTTACAGTTTGCAAGATCAGACTTCAGGGAACACATTTTAACAATATTAGAAGGAAATAAAAAAAATTGTTTTCCTTGTGCACCAGGGAATTATTAGTCTCCTATAAAGAGTGGTGCAGCCCTGTCGTCTTGAATAATACATCATATTTAGATATAAAAATCCCTAACATCAAAACATTACGCACTATAAAGCATTGCAGCTCGCTAAATTGACAGGCTGTTACGTTTTCTATTTGTGAGTCCTCAATTAGGTTCAGGCAATTAATTTCATCATTTTTGTTATGTGACAACTCAAGACAACGAGTGTAATTATTAACGTTATCAATACAGGGGGGGGGGGGGGGGGGGGGGAGGTAGTTCCATGCTTTGATTACACAAAAAGAACAGCAAACTCTTATTTGATAAAGCTAGCTTGTGCATTTGTGATTTACCATTTTCTATAAATAATGAAATCCCGATGATTATCTTTCAGTAGTTTTGTTCATAAAGCTAAACCAAGCTTTTGACATCCTTTAGTCATACTGGTACCTAATAGGGCTGGTAATGATTTAGATAATCTCAACAGCCCGTTGAAGGATATATGGACATATTGGGTAATCCATTGGGGAAGGGGAGGTTGTAATCATAAAAAAGTTGAGAACCCCTGATTTAATGGATTCAGCAGGAATAGTTGTGCTGCACAAGTGTACATCAATGTTACCACAATTACAGTGCATCTCTTTAGCCACCACCCTGTGTTGCTCTCACATCCTTACTTGCTGTTCTGCTTTCTTCTCCCACTTTCATTTTGCTATTTCAAATCAATATTTATATCTTGCCACCGTTTCCTTCCTACCTTGCACATATATCACTGTGTTAGTTTCAATTCAGCCAATGTCACCTTGTTGGCTTCTATTCAACCAGTATCAACCTATATAATTATATTTAATCATCCACAATGTACTTATTTTTCATTTGTCTTCAGAATAGTAAAACATATATCATGCTGCCTATTGGTGAGTAGACAAGATAATTACTTACTTGATAACTGATGCTCTAAGTTTCTTCTGTGTGGGGATCAAAATGCTGTCAGTGATGGTATCTGCCTCCTCCAAGACAGCATTTAATTGGAACCTTATGAGGTTAATCTGATGGATAAGTAAACATTTTATTATCTAACCTTCCATATAGTGATAACATACAGCAATGTATGGCTTACAGATGTTATAGATGTAAACATGTGCATTACTAACCAAGATTAAGTCATCTTGCAAGAAGGGAATGTCAAATGAAATTTCAATATCATCATCAGGGTATATGGCATGGCCTTCATCATCACCGCCTAGACCAATCAAAGCTCCAGTGTAATGAGTGCCATCCTCACTTATTCTGGTGAGCACAAAAATAACTTGTATAAATGACACTACAGTGTGACCAAGCCAGTCAAGTTTTATCAGAAATGGAATAAATAATCTGTACTTAAAAGGACCACAACTGTGGCAAACAATGCTAAGCTTTAAATAATTTGTTAGTTTTACCTAACTAACAATTAACTATTCTCGCAAAATGAAGTGTGCAATGTGTAAGCTTTTACGATGCATATGGATCTTCACAAACCCACCTCACCAATCAAGGCAATGCTTATTAGTTCTAAAAACTTATATTTCTAATGCCTTTTCTGAGCTGAAGCAACTTGGTCCCAATTAGGAAAGTCCCACTCTCGCCAAAGACTTACTTCCTCTAGCCAGATCTACTCGTCTCCTGAAAGCTAGCAGGAATCTTTGTGGGTATAAACTTCTCTTTTGAAATTCAGATGTTTGGTGAAATGTTACAGAAAACCTTTGTCTAGACACCTGGACACAGGCTGCTTTTTGCAAATTTGGACCCAATCCTAATGGGCAACTACATTTTCTTTTTGCAGACAAAGGTTTAACAAATAATTGGTAAACTATTCCTATTATATTTACATGACACTAGTCAATACCACTGTATACCTTAATTCAGCTACAGGACAGAAAAGAAGAAGACAAAGGGGTAGGATGCCAGGAATGGGTGGCATCAATGTTGTGCCACGAAGTGTCACACTTGACTCCGAAGGATCCAATGTCACAGATGCAGCCAGCAACAGCCTAGAAATAAAAATTGAAAAAGAACTACACATTCAATAACCTCAAGTTGTAACAAAAATACATATACTGTACTGTACAGAACTATACAATGATCTTCTGATTATTCAGATTAACTGGGTTAATCTGTTCCATTCCGGAACTAAAGTGACATCACCATTTAGAAGCTTACTAGACACGCACTAGTCCAGACAGTATTTCAGTTAAAAAAAAAAATTCTGATGAATAATTGGGGGATCTTTTCTTGTCACTGTTGAAGCCACTAGAAATGGTGGCTGTCGGGTAAATTCATATTAAGAGCTTCCGCAGCTTATTAATGAAAAACAGATATACAAGGTTATATTTTAGAGAATTTATCTTGAAATCTACTTTGAACTATGCTCTAAAAAATACAAATTATGGATACAGTACCCTCAATGAGAATGTCATAATCGCTGCCTAAACAATACCAGTAACCTGTTTCGAGAAAATTACTGTAGCAATTGACATAAGATAACATTTACAGTACATTTCCTCACCTATCATGTGGATTTTGAGGTTCCAGATCCAAAGCTGTAGAGTTGACTGATGAAGAGTCAATTTTAACGCGCTTGGATCCTCCTGTACGAGTCAGTGCTACAAATCTCAGCAGAAGTGGCGAGTCTGGACCACGTAGTTGTCTCTTCAAAGAAAATTAAATTTTCCATCAAAACAGTAATAAAAATGAAGCAATATAAAAAGCACCATTCTAAGTACAGCTACTTGGCTGCTCAGCTAGGTAAACATCAGTTATGTCCAAGACAGGTTTCATTAAGTCAGGCAGGATGGCATCTTAAAACCAGCACAGCAGGCACCTCTTTTCAAATGATCCTACTGGGACATTTGAACATTTATATGATGACTTCCTTTTCCAGCCTCTGTTTATGCGCGGTTAGAGGTCTTCACCATTTCCTTCAGCTCTGCTCTGTATCCCCCCTTTACAGTTTCTACATTTTCTTGGGTCTGGCATCTGTTTCTGACCCATACACTGAGAAGGCATCAAATGTAATAGCTCCTAGTTCAGCCTATTCTGCATTCTCTCCTGTACTCACCTAATTGTGCTTGCGGGGGTTGAGCTCTGGCTCTTTGGTCCACTCGATGTGTAGCGTTTTTTTATCAGTAAGAATGGGTCATGATCTTGATTTTTTAACTCTGTTAGCATCATTGGTGCTTTGTTTTGGCCAGGTTGGTGAATAAGCAGTTGTCAAGCCTCACTGTCAGTCACTTGTAACATCAAATATGGATTTGGCAGTGCTTTGATTTTTTATGGATGGACCTCTGAAGGTCATTTGGGGTTAGATTAAGCAAATAATGTACAAGGAAAAAAATGAGAAATGCTTAATCTGAAATTACTTTTCACAAAATCTCTGGACCAAGGAATAGTCCCCTACCCCTACATTGGAAATTTGCAAATGTTACCCCTATTTTCAAAAGCGGCAGAAAGAGCTCAGTGGAAAACTACCGTCCGATCAGCTTGACATCACACATCTGCAAGTTCATAGAGAGAACCCTAAGAGGAATCATTCATCTTTCAGTGAATAATCTTGTAAAATCGACGCAACATGGGTTTGTCAAAAATAGATCCTGCCTTACAAACCTGCGCATATTTTTGGAAACGATAAGCAGCTACTCAGAAAAGTACTTTTGGTACTTGACATGGAGGGTACCCTCCATGTCAAGTACGGTAGTGTTGAGAAAACCTGTCATCAATGTTCTCACGTCGTAGCGAGCAAAACCAGCTGTCAGGTTACCTACGAGGTCTTGCATAAATGTGCAAGAGTGAGTGAATAAGAGGTAGCCATATCTGTAAGTACATGATCTTGTTTCTTTATTATTGTGTCCGTCTGTGTTGATCTGAGGGGTTAACCATAGTTTTCACCTTCTCAATACCTGACACCGGTATAGGTGGAGACCGAGACACCTGATGATATACGAGTGTTTACCTGTGTGGTACCACGACATTACACTCTTCTGTGAATGTGAGTTTCATATACACCACACACTTAGTTATTGTGTGACATAATTATTGTGCATGATTATTGCCTGTCTCATTGACTGTCATTGTTGATTTATTGTGCATCATCATTACCCGAGTATCCTGTTGGAACTCCTGCAACCTAACTGAAAAGTTAGGTTGCATGTTAATGATTGGCTGTCAATTGTGTTAAGTTAGGTGGTTCTCCAAGAGTAGATCAGAATCGATTAGTCAGACATCAAGAGTCTCGCTAATGCAACCATAGCCTTTCTGACGCCAATCTAAAGAAAATCAAGCACTCACTGTATTAGTGGTTAAGTGTAAATAAACTACTGTTAAGCTTTATGCAGTGTTTTCGTTGAACCACTTCTGAATACTGCCAACTATTATTTGAGCCTTCAGCCCCAGGTGTCTTCAACACCGAGTTGCCTATTATTCACTAATCTATAAATGTGATAAAGACCCTTGGAGTCCCTTAAAGTATTTCAAGCATTGAAGAGATTCCAACACAACTGACGTGGATCAGGACCAGGTGAGGCTAGTTTGAGAAGAGGCTAGCCTGAGAAGAGACCATCAAGAACTCTTACTCGATCTTGCTCCCAGGCCCTGCACGCTTTCTCTCGTATTTTCTCTGCTGGATTCCGACAGCTCCGTGAAGCATCTGCCACATTGGTGACCTACACATTGCAGTCGAGAAAGCAAAGGAGAAAACCCCACAAAGATTAGCTAAAATATTGATAACCTTGCTTTTATGACAAAAGTATATCAGCAAACTTACCTTACTGGCATATTTTTCTGGTACAGTCTCAAAGTTGAAGGAAAGAGATGAAAAGGCAGAGGAAATACTGTAATCAGAGCATACAGATGATTCCTCCACTTGACTGGAATACAATGCACGCAACTCATGATTTTGCTGAAAAGTATAATTGTGCACAAGTTACTTTGCAGTAAAATAAGTATTTTGATTAAGTATTTCTAAGTGAAAAAATGCTTCATCCAAACTTACCTACTGCAGCTAAATAACACAAATATATACCAAAAACCCGATTTCTTTGTAGAGTTGATGACAATATACGCCAGGTTGTTTCCTGCCTATATTTGAATTCATTATATGATGCCCAAAAAACCAGCGTTGAATGTAATGAAACGCTATTTTCTGGGCGAGTCTCGGAGGCTCCCCCGGAGCTATCCAGGCTGATATGGATATCCTTAACTTTGGCATCACTCTATGTGGGTAGAGTTCTAGGCCTACTGGGGACCACGAGCCAGAACCTGGCCCCTTCAGAGAGGCACGAGGAGCAATGCCCTATAGAAATGTACGTGTGATTTTGGAGCATTCTTTATCTGCCATCTACCGGGACAGGCACCCAGAAAGGTAAATGCCTCAAAACAAATTCCTATTGAGGTTAAAAACGATGACAAACGAGTGAACAGAACTCCCCAAATGAAAACAAGCAAATAAGCATGATGTCACACGAGCCACGTCGAGCCCTGTCCCCCTCCCGGGGTGAGGGGGGGGAAGGGGCCCCCAGACCCCTGCGCCGGTAATCCACCCTGCAGTTCTGAGGCTGGATATCAAAATACGCGAAAACCGCCGACCGGGAGGGAGGGAGGGAGGGAAGGAGGGAGGGAGGGAGGGAGGGAGGGAGGGAGGGAGGGAGGGAGGGTTGCCTGGGAGCCTCTGGGACTCACCCAGAAAATGCTGTTTCATTACATTCAATGCTGGTTTTCTGGGGGAAGCCCCTATGGCTTCCCAAAGCTACTTCACCAAAGACTAAAAAGAAAGAAGGGGACTTACCCGGGAGGCGGTCTTCCACCAGTTCACCAGCAACGGGTGAACCAGCTAGCTGGGAAAGTACCAAACCGCTAAGGAGCAGACATGCGGACTGACTGGGAGCCCAAACCAGCCAGTCAATGAGGCAAGCCAACACCCGAACACCTAACAGACACAGACAGGCCACCACGACCCGCATAAGGCATGTGAACACGTGAGGTGCCATATTCAACCCGAACGGGAGACAACGAAAGCGGTAACTTTGATGCCCCACAACAAACAGAGCCAGTCCTTGAACCCCGGATGAATCAGGACAAGCCAATATACGTCCTTGAGGTCCAGGGACACCATCTAAGTGCCCGGCTCCAACAGAAGCCGGACCTGGGACAGAGTGAGTGGTCATCCAAAACGAGGGGCAAGAAACCAAGGGGTTCAGACGGGACAAGTCCAGAATGAACCGCAGGTCCTCAGTCCATTTTCGGAACTGGAAACAGGAAGGGAAACCCACCAGAGAGATATCATTGTTTCAACCATGCCCAAGTGCACCCACTCCAAGATGACCTGACAGAGTGCAGGAGAAGAGGCCTGCCCTGCCAGCCCTGAACCCCCTGAAGGGGGAGGAGCCACCCAACATCACCATAGACCAGGAGAAATGACCCAAAAAGCTCACGAATCGTGAGATCAGGCGTGAGCAAACAGAGCAAGCCTCCCCCCATCGCCCTGTCAATGGGGGGAATCACAAAAGGGCTGATGCCCCTTACGAGAACCCGACCTGCGCGCAGAGTGAACACTGTGCCAACCAGGAGCAGCCGGGACCGAAGGCGGCACTGGCTCTGAAACCGGCATCTGTGGCCTACCCCAACAAGCAGAACCACGAGCCCTGATATGACCCATCCAGGAAGAACCCACCCGGGAACCCTGGAGAACCAACAAGTCAGACATCGGGTGCAACTAGAAGCCACCTGCATGCACTGCTCAACCCTGGAGGCCCCAAACAGCAAAGGACAAAAGGGCGAAGACAACCTAATAGCCAGGGCCCAAGCGGATTCCAAGGAGGAAGCAAGCACCTCATGCCGACATGCGAGACTCGCAGCGAGAAACCGCATCAGTCTCTCCCGCAGAATCGGCGCAAACAGCTTCAACAGTGCAGACGATGCATGAACAGCCGAGACCAAGGCACCAGACCCAGGAACGACCCCAAGCACCTCTACATTGTCCACAAGCCACGCGTGCGCAAGTCCTCAGCCACAGCGCAGCCGACAAGGAAGGAACCTGCACATGAAGCTGAACTGCGCCAACATCCCGTAGAAGGGCAGGTGTGAAAAGACACTCATTAAGGTGCTCAAAGTCGCCCCCCATGTAAACCTGGACCACAGTCAACACTTCGCGCCACTCAAGCGTGCAGGTACAACATAAGGAGTCCCAAGCATCCAGTGAAAATAAGGGGAAGTCCGCAAGCCAGGACGAACCCGGAATCTCATAATGAACCCAGAATGGAGACGAAGATCCAAACCTGAAGGAAGACGGAGCCATTATAGAGGCAAACTCTGGGTCGCGCGAGAGCAAGCTGTAATGGCTGCCCGCACCTCAGTAGGCGAGATGCGGATAGCCGAAAACCTCCGGAAGGACAGAACCGAAGGACCCGTAGGCACATGGAACCGAACCCGGGGAGGAGCCGAACCCAAATCCAACTCGTATGCAGAGGGGATGGGGGGGGGGGGGGAGGAAAACACCACTCCTTGTAATGATAAGCCCTGCTCGGAGGGCTCATCGCTTACATTAGTCTGATACCCCAGATTAATATATCGCACATCAATCAGATAGCTCTAGGGACCCAGAGGGGGCTCCAGACAGAAAATAAATACATATGTGGCAGTTATGCCACACACACTTGGCAACTATTAAACCGAGTTATAGGTAAGGAAAATTTCGGTGTCCACAAGATAGGATAGTAGACGGTCAAAACAGGATCGGTGCCACCCGAAACTATGCAAACTGTCCTAGCCGAGTCATATGATATTGTGTGTAACGAGAAAACACATATCCAAGCCAAGAAAAACTGTCAGATAATTATTCATAAAATTAAAAGCCCCTACAAAAACTCAACCACTATAAAAGTACTTTGAAACATTACCTCGTGGCCTGCTTGAATACCTATAGCAGCAACAGCAGCACCCCAAGCACCTCTAGGTCCCACCTCACATGGTGGGCAGACACAAAGAAATATAGTCATGTCACACAGGCGGTATGCCAGGCATACAGTCAGTAAAGTGAGGCAGGCAGTAAGTTATCAAAAGTCAGGTTAGCTAAGCAAGCAGTATGTCAGTCGTACACATGTTGACTCAGCCCCATGCCTCAGGCTGGGGTTAAGAGTCCATATGATTTTGCCACCATATTGGACTCTTGAAGGCTGGGAAGAAAACCCTCATTGGTTTTTAATTATCCCTAATCACATGAGTTGACAAATGTATTTGTACAAATACATTACAAATTTGTACCCCCCCCCCCTTCCACTTTTAATTATAAGAGGGATACAAGATAAGAGGTGCCAGTGTTTCATATGAATAACTGCCAACTTCATAAATTCCTAAAAAGAGAAGCTAGCCCCCTCCTCTCAGAAAATCAGAATATCTTGTAGTGACCATTGTGGATGACATGCCTCAAAATGCATGTCATGTCCCATGGTTAATTTTTGTTGATTGCTTTTGTAGTCTGGAATATATTTAATGGTGGAAGTGTTTATTTTAAGATTTCTGAAGTACAGTATTGAATGAACCCTTTAACTGCGCAACGCGCCTGCAGGCCCATGTCTGGGGTGCGCTACGCACCTCGGGGTATTTGTATTTTTCATGTTCCATTCAAAACTCCCGCGGCTACATGGGGTTCACATCAGCATCCTCAGGGCTCTTGTAAACAGAAATCGTCAAGTTAAAAGAAATCGTGGTCCACATTCCCGGGTGTGAGAGCCTCGGTAGTGAGTGAGCAACCAAGGCCGGCGCACGCAGCATGAGCTCACAGCACTGCTGTTCAGCTTGTAACCACAGCATCGCCTAATAATGTCAAAATATATATATAACTTGTATTATTTAGCCATGATAGTATTACAGAAGAGCCTGAGTGTGATAATGACTGTGTACAATGTTCCAATATTAGTGATTCAATGCTGTTCACGATATGCACAGAGCTAGCCACATCACCACAGCATTATTTCCTCCATCTAGGAATCTTCAAACGACTTCTTAGGTTCCTTTACAAAATAAACTTGTGGTCAATTATGTATTTACAGGATTTAGTGACCAGTATTGTGATAACAGCAGGATTGTGGTGATAATAAGCACTGTGCGTAGTATTGTGGAAGGAGTAATTGTGGTGAGGGAGCGAGGGAGAGAATCAAGGTAACCTCACTGTGTGGCAGCCACTCTTGTTTCGCTCATCATACTAGCTTAGTGGTTCGCTATGGTGAACACATTTGTACATGGGTATATACAATGTGTGTATATGGTGTAGTAACAGTAACAGGAGTATGTTGGGAGGAGCTATTTTGGTGAGGGAGGTGACGTAATTGTAACATCGTCTGCTGGCTGCTGTGCACCATACACTGCATTTCTCATGCAGTGTATAGTGGCCACTGTAAAGTTTAGACACAATACCAGCTTACTTGCATAGTTCTGGTGAATAAAACATGTAGATAGGTATACATAACATGTGTAAATAGTGTAATACAAACAATAACTGTACGGTGGGAGGAGCAATGTTGGCGAGCAAGATGTTGGAGGAGTGAGGGAGAGAATGGATGTTGGAGGAGTGAGGGTGTGGCAGCTGACACTCATGGAGTTCTGAGTGTGTTGATTGTGAATGTATATAGTGTGTGATAGTAGTGTGCAAATAGATTGTATATATACATAAATTAGCATAATACAATGGAAATGTGCGCCGGATATGTTTACACGTGTCATGCACGTGACACAGTGTCTTCGGACAGTACAGATGTTTTACTGCCATAATATAGTGTACGTGTATAGTGACCATGGAGCCGGTCGGCCGAGCGGACAGCACGAGGAACTTGTGATCCTGTGGTCCTGGGTTCGATCCCAGGCGCCAGCGAGAAACAATGGGCAGAGTTTCTTTCACCCTATGCCCCTGTTACCTAGCAGTAAAATAGGTACCTGGGTGTTAGTCAGCTGTCACGGGCTGCTTCCTGGGGGTGGAGGTCTGGTCGAGGACCGGACCGCGGGGACACTAAAAATGCCCTGAAATCATCTCAAGATAACCTCAAGAAGATAAGGTTATCATTATACATAGGCTTGGCACATAAAAGCACATAAAATGTATTTGGAACTGTGCGTAGAAAATGAACAAAAACATTCACGGCAACTCGCACATCCTGCCCCGAGCGCCCTACCGCTCCCGGGGGCATATGCCACGGGCGACCAGAGAATGACAATGTCACACACAAACTTACGGACCCCATAGCAGCTAAAGTACTTACAATTTCAAACTTCTGTTACTATATACTTACTCAGAAAAGGATTTTTGACACTTTAAAAACAGAAAAGAATTTTTTCCAGAGATTTTATTTCCTGCGCACTGGGCAGGATGTCATATTTGGAGGCCGTGCAGTTAAGGGGTTAAGAGTGTATGATACACTATGGAGTAGCTTTTAGTTAAATGCCATTCTGCTTCTGAAGTGTCTTGCTCTGACCTTCAAAACACAAACTGACAATTATTATTCATATTAATACATAGAATAATGTACAATGCCAAACTATATTAAAAAATATTAAACCCTACCTTAGACAAAAAGAACTCCTCTGCTTTAACAGCAAAGCCCTTTGATACAAGCAAATTGTTAATGGACACTAAAGTACCATATTCCATCTCCAACAACTTGACTCGCAGGTTTCCATGAACAATGCTGTATATCTGAAAAACAAGACATTTTTCAGTCAAAAGAATATCAGGAATGATGCTTCGTGTATTAAACAGGAAAGTCCAGGATGATTGCTTAACCAAGAAGTCCAGGATGATTGCTTAACCAAGAAGTCCAGGATGATTGCTTAACCAAGAAGCCTTAACATGCCATCTCTGCATATGCTTACCCACATTGTTTTCTCAATTTTGTACCATTTCCATACTCTTAGTAATACTGTAGGTATAAATTTAAAAATGCATTTTTAGGGAATATTTTACTGTAAAGTGCTTGGGCTATTACTATAAATTGTACAATATACTGTAATTTAAAAACGTGACAGTTTTATGTAGGTAGTGGAGTATTTTATGCTGTAACACTACCTACATAAGAATTATTGTTTGTAAATATATATTAGATAGCACTTATGTATTATGACTATTTACAAACAAATAATACTGATCTACCCATTCACAAATTTTATAAAACTGCTAAAGACATTTACTAGCTAACAATTACTCAAACATATTTGAACTCCAGAGCTACCTATTGACAGCAGAAGTAACCCTTAAAAACCTTACTACTGTATTCATTCCACCAAGTGTTAAAACTCTTCACAGCTACATCCAGGTTCAGTTCCCGCACAGGATGAAGAGCTGCCTGACAGCCCAAATGAAGCCAGGATCTAGTGCTGCAGTCAATAAGCATTTGAGGACCTGTACTCAGCGTTATTGTTTCAGTCAAGATGCACAGTACCCGATCTACAGCTGATAACGAAACAAGTCCAGTCAAGCCAAACTCAATGGACGAAAAGAAAATGGAAACCTGTGTAGGAAGCGTATCCAGGCTATGAACCAGGACCCAGAACTGCATCCTCAGGGCAGTGAAGGAGTCGAGCCTATAACAGGAAGAGGGATAAAAGAAAACATTTTTTCTGAGTGACAAACCCTCAGGGCCAATAATGTCAATAAGCATTTGAGGACCTGTATTCAGCATTATTGTTTCAGTCAAGATGCACAGTACCCGATCTACAGCTGATAATGAAACAAGTCCAGTCAAGCCAAACTCAATGGGCGAAAAGAAAATGGAAACCTGTGTAGGAAGCGTATCCAGGCTATGAACCAGGACCCAGAAATGCATCCTCAGGGCAGTGAAGGAGTCGAGCCTATAACATGAAGAGGAATAAAAGAAAACATTTTTTCCGAGTGACAAACCCTCAGGGCCAGGAATCAATCTCTAAAGAGAGTTAAAGAGATAGCTAAAAACTCTTCTTCAACACTGCCAAATCCCAGAAAGCCTCTCCTGCTACTGCAGGAGGATCGGGAACAAAGTCAACATGCCCTCCCAAGAGCCCATAGACCTTGAAGGGGCTAACATGGTAATCCCCATATCCCACAGAGCCTCCTTCCCCCCCAGGCACATCCAAAATAAACAAGGGCATGGTACAAGGTGAGTAAGCTTTACAAACCTCCACAAAATCCCCAGGAAGAGGCAGCATCCAAAGTTGCTTCCAATAATCAACCCAACGCTCCAAAGCTGCTTAGGAGTTTGAACCAAGTGGGGAGGCTGAGAAGTATACTGAACAGAAAGAAGCCAGGTGAACTGGCCACACAACAGCCAAGTTGGTATGGTAGTTGTAAAGGAAGCTGGTAGAAACGTAACAAGTTTCAAAGAAAGGTTCTAAAATTCCTCCAGATGTAAAAGTGGGAAATTGGCACGAGTGTCACCCACTGCAAGCAGAGGCTGCAAAAGCCAGCTCAGCCAAAATTGAGATCCAGCAGCAACAAACAAAACAGACTGGAGGGTGGAAGGAGTCCTGCACTCAATAGGCTGAATTGCTAGGAAATAAGGTAACACCATTGGCATCCAAAAACATGAAATCGCATCCAAAAAAATCAATAACAGTTGCTGTGTAAAGTATAGAGTCGGATAGGAAATCCGTAACAACCTGACAGAACATACACAAAACCAAAACACAGGGAAGAGGGGACACCAACCACCTGCCTTATCACTTAGACCAGCAAGCTTGCCAGGCACAAAGGAAGTGTTCCAACTGAACAAACACTGAACCCAGACTGTAAACACCTAGCAAGAAAAGATGATGCAACCACAGATAAGAACACTCAATTATGCAACCAAACCATACCCTCAGTGAAGGTGCACAGCCCGAAGTTGCACAGCCCCAAAGTGCACAAGGAATAACGTACAGCAAACTGCTATACTCCCCATGAATAGGCCTCACAGTGGAGAACAAATACAGTGTGCTACCTGGAAGTGAAGCGACTCGGGAGAAGCCAACTTGTATAGAAGGAACCTGAACCCCCTCAGAACAGCTATTTCTTGATGGCAAGTGACAAGCAGACTACTATAGAAGGCAGCCTTGGACCCACAGGCACATGAAATGTTGGTGACAAAACACACTTATGAAGGAAAATGAAACAATAATGCAATGGCTCCAGTGTAGCTAAAGTTCCACAAGTAGCTAATACCACTTAGAATAAAACATGAGGCAGAGGATAGGCCTTGTTACAGCAGCCATGCTCAATATTCTGTGACTAGGCGAGTGAGAGAAGGCAGACTGGATGAAAGCCCAGGTGACTTGGGTTGCCCCTACTCCCTTCTGGTGCTTGTCAGGCGCAACGATTGTTTCTTGGAGAGTTTTTTCTCAGACTTAAGCTAATCTACAATCTCCAAGCTCTTCTCATCTTGTAGATAAGAGCCAATTTTTGGTCATAGTTTCCAGTAGGCAAGGGTGGGTTGCAGATGCCTGCTGGATTGAAGATATGGCTGTAGCATCCATATTAAAAAGCTCTCGAGAGGATACCTACAACTGAAGTGGTCATACCAGCCCTATCTAAACCAACTAAATACCCATTAACCTAATCCTACCATGGTTGTAAACTCCTGTTCTTTGCTTGCATATGCTGTACCCTCATAAGCCAATTATCCACCATCACCTTTAAGTGATCAAACCATTCAAATGTGTTTTCTTTCACCTATTCTACTACTATGTACTATATATCTGCCTTTCTCTGCCATACCAATATTTCTCTCTCTTAACTTATTCAACATGCATTTCTTAAACATTGTAGCTAATTTAACAACCAAAACTTAGGATTTATTGTTATTTTATGCCCAATGTTTAGTAGAAATGTTTTCAGCTACAATACATTTGACATATTTATTTATAAGTTATATCATAGCTTTTGAGAATGGACAAAGAAACAATAGCTGGAGAATACCTGAACAGTAAAACTTTTATATAGTGTGCGAGCTTTAAACCAAGCAGTGGCTTCCGGATCCCACATGCCATGCGTGTATTTTGAGACTGGCTTCACTTCTGCCAACATACATTCTATTGCCATCATATTCATCTCCACCACACTGCAAGTATACAACACATCATATAAATGTACTACACACTACAATTAATAAAGTTACAGTGCTGTAAAAGAGGGGGTCAAGTCTAGGAACACATTACAAGAGAACACTACAGGGTGTAAAGCAACCAGCTCATCACTGGAGCTGACACACCTCGAAGTGGGAGATAATAAACAGCTTTGGTGGAAGTATAACCAATAACGAACAAATTATATTTGTAATTTTTGTCAACTACAATACTGATGTTTGGAGTGAAAAAGATGCAATAAACTTATTAAAGATGAAAATAAGTAGCTTGAAATAAGAATAAAAAGGTGTTTACCTTTCTGGTAAACACCTCAACTTGCTTGCATCAGTAACTTCACTATTCCCATAGTCCACAAAGAAAACCTGAAACAAAAGCACACAAAACCATTAACTTGAGCATAAAACATGATATTTATTTATCATTAAGATGCATGTCCTCACAGTGAATAACGTTCCACGAAACATATACATTACAAAAAATAAACCTACCAAAACTTCCTCGCTACCATTTGGGCCGACATGCATCTCCTCTATACGTGCTCTGTAGTAACTCTCCATGCCGTCACCCTCTTTATAACTGGCAAGACACACGCAGCCTGGGATAATATGGTTCCGCGGTAAGACAGGTACTTGCTTATTTCTTATAGCATATTCAATTTTAGATTCAATATAACACAAGTTTGCAGCTGCACTTTTCTCATTGGAAACCACCCAAAAGTTGCCTGCAGTGTTTACCTGAGAGAGAAAGAGTGGGAAACATGCTCTTCAGACTGGATAGAAACATTCATCTATAAAATAACAATACACAATAATAATAACTATGGTAATAAAAAATTATAAAATAATAATGAACCAATAATAAAGTACTGTACCAATAATATAATAATACACAATTAATAACAATTATACTAATAAAGTAATAATAATTATAATAGTATTTATTATACTATTATAGTAATAGTAAATTAACATAACTGGAATCAAAATGCACCATAACGCACAACCATTGTTAACATAAAAAGTAAACAAACTGATAACTTCACTAATTCCTAAATGACATTGAACAGGCACATTGTAGTGACACCAAAAACAGTTACCAGTTTACAGGGTTGCTAGTATTTTAAGGTGAAAAATAAAAATAAGTTGTTTGGACACGAGTTGTGGGGTCAGCATAGCAAGGCTTGATTATTTTTGCAAATGGCCACTTTAGATAAGTTACCTGGTTTAACAGGGATTCAATTTAAAGAGGACAGCTGGGTTTGAGACAGGTTAAGTGATTTACTAAATCAATGCTCTATCCAACTCATCTTCCAAAACTGCTAGCATCTATAACTACAATACTAGGGATCAAATGTACAAACTGTACACTGTTGTATCCAAACAAAGTTCACATTTTGTACTACTGTAATTTTACAGGTCATAACAAAACGTGAAACAGGCTAACCATAAACCTGTCCTGTCCTAGGCCTAAATAAGCAATTCAAGGCATAACACATACAATCTTCATCCTAGTGTAGTACATGTATTATACCAGGCCTGGAAAAGTTAGGTATGATTGTTGCCTTCTTTACCAGGCCTACTATAACATTTATACAATGAACATTTCTTTTTAGTGCCTTATTTTCCAGGTATTTTTGCTGTTCTTCAATTCTACCAACATACACTTAATCAAGTTATTTGTATTCTAATTGTAATTGAACAACAACAGAAATAATGAGGTGAAGAACTGCCAAAAAGGAGGAATAGCTAGAGATGGTCAAAGTCAACGAAGAGTTTCTTGATCTTATAGACCATCACACCGTAAAGGATTTATTTAGGAATATTTTTGCTAAGTTGTATGCCCAACCACTTTGTATTAGTGTAGTGCAATGCCCTCACTTCTTGCTAAGGTCAATGTTCCATTCCCATTACCTGTCTTTATAAACACATCTCCTTGTCCTTGTATCCCTTCCAAGTGCTATATAGTCATACTGACTTAATTCTTTCTGTTGATAATTACCTTACCTAACATGCTAAGTTACATTTTAAATGCTAAGGGTGTTGAGCAGTTAGTCTTGATCACTCATAACTACTATGGCAAAAGTAGACAGGACAATCCCCAAGTGACAGCTGTCTTTGGTCATGCCCACAACAGCTCCAATTGCTGGTTTGTACTGTTATAATATACAAATTAATTGAAGATGTGGCTTTCTACTTGGCTTTACTCGTGCTTTTTTTACTGATTCAGTTTTCTTCTTATCTTATAATTAGCATATCTTTCCAGTGCTAAAACACCATCAATGATAGATGTAAAAAGATCAGCAACACTGGCCAAATAGTTCCAAAGATGAAATTATATTAGTTTTTGATGAAAGGTACCCTAGAGTGGCATAAAATGATAGCCTAATAATATAAACAATACACATACATATCCCTGTACATATATACACACATGTTGCCTACTACTTACATACATTGTGTATGCCTACAACTACTATAGACATACATACACATAGGGTCCCAGTAGTACAGTCAGGTTCGTTCTTGACCCCACAATCAAGAATTCCGGGTTTGAATCCCGGGTGGGACAGAAATGGTTGGGGGGCATTTCCTATCACCCAATGCCACTGTTCACCTAGCAGCAAGTAGGTACTCAAGAGTTAGTCAGCTTCTTGTGGGGTTGCATCCTGGGCGGGTCAGTAATTTGACCTGACAGGGGGGGGGGGGGGGGGGGGGAACACCTCAATATAAGCCTAATGTGTATGAATACACTTTGGCTGCCTGTCCTCCGACACAATGAATTTATTATTATTATTATAATATACACATACATATATACATACATGATATATATAAGAACATGATTACACAATTTATATTACAAAAATTGTGGACTTGCAATCAGTATGACAAAAGCAAAATACAAGATGAATCACAGAAAAAGGCATGGTAATATATCAACATACATGAGTAACGTAAACACTCCAGGTGTGGTTTGTAGCTTTGGGCAAAACAGGACACTTGAGCCTGCAGAGCTGGGGCTGAGTGACCCTCTTGTGAATGCTGCCAAGTGTTTGTTTCAAGGCACCATCACTGGAGGCAGCCAGAGTTATAGACTTCTCACTGTTGTAGCCCAAAACTTGCTTCATCTTTGCTTGTGCCTCCTGAGGACTAAAAATGACAAATTACTACAGCAAACTTTGTACAAATGTACACACACACACATTCTTCTTCTTCAATCTAAGTATTAACACTTTTCCAGCTAAATAATTGACACTAGAATAACAGTTTGATATTTATGAGATAACTCGCCAAAATATTCATTTTGCATTGACATTTTATACGAAAGAAATTCTCAGAAAACTGATAGTAAAGACTACAAGTTACCTATTACAATATGCTAAAAAAAAATAAATAAATAAAAGTTCAAGTTATAAATGACAGCTATGAAAACAGCAGTGTCTGATTGTGTAGAATTGCTTGATAGTAGTGGCAGTATGTTACACTAACTACATACCATGCTGTGAAGTGATCAGTATAAATAAGCCACGTTACTTCCATTATTACAGCACAAATACTACAACACAATCCAGGCTGGGTGATTACTTATAAGTTTGTAGAGGGCAGTGTGACAATTAAAAGGCTTATGTTGTGTTGGGATCTACTTATGGGGCCAGGTTATTCAGCACTTCAGTGTGATGCCTTCAACTACGTCTACAACAAAACCATGTACTCACCCACCTAGTTGTACTCACCTAGTTGTGTTTGCGGGGGTTGAGCTCTGGCTCTTTGGTCCCGCCTCTCAACCGTCAATCAACAGGTGTACAGATTCCTGAGCCTATCGGGCTCTGTCATATCTACACTTGAAACTGTGTATGGAGTGAGCCTCCACCACATCACCCCCTAATGCATTCCATTTGTCAACCACTCTGACACTAAAAAAGTTCTTTCTAATATCTCTGTGGCTCATTTGGGCACTCAGTTTCCACCTGTGTCCCCTTGTGCGTGTTCCCCTTGTGTTAAATAGACTGTCTTTATCTACCCTATCAATCCCCTTCAGAATCTTGAATGTGGTGATCATGTCCCCCCTAACTCTTCTGTCTTCCAGCGAAGTGAGGTTTAATTCCCGTAGTCTCTCCTCGTAGCTCATACCTCTCAGCACGGGTACTAGTCTGGTGGCAAACCTTTGAACCTTTTCCAGTTTAGTCTTATCCTTGACTAGATATGGACTCCATGCTGGGGCTGCATACTCCAGGATTGGCCTGACATATGTGGTATACAAAGTTCTGAATGATTCTTTACACAAGTTTCTGAATGCCGTTCGTATGTTGGCCAGCCTGGCATATGCCGCTGATGTTATCCGCTTGATATGTGCTGCAGGAGACAGGTCTGGCGTGATATCAACCCCCAAGTCTTTTTCCTTCTCTGACTCCTGAAGAATTTCCTCTCCCAGATGATACCTTGTATCTGGCCTCCTGCTCCCTACACCTATCTTCATTACATTACATTTGGTTGGGTTAAACTCTAACAACCATTTGTTCGACATGTGTCTGACTACAAAGGAATTGGCAGGGACAAGCGGGGGAAGAACAGCTCCCTGACAATGACTCTTAATGGACCAAAACAGATAGTAGAAGTGCTCAGAAACGCTAGAAAATTATACAATGAGAAAGAAACTATGGTTACTAGTAAGGAAACAATAAAAGGAAGAAGGGAAAAGGTTAACACACATTAGAGCAAAAAGCAGTTAACAAAGAATAGAAATGGGAAACAAAATATTTTCACAAGGTAATAGGGTTCAGAGTGCCTCTGAAATAGAACTTAAAAATATCAATCAATAAAGACCAAGAAGAGCCCAAATACGAGGAAACATTCATGAAAAGTTTGTTCATATACTGACAGTTAAAAAGTACAACAGCCAAGTGATATAATAATGCAGAAAATTAAAATAATTGTTACATTGTCAGAAATAAAACTAGAAAGAATTCTAAATGAGGTGAGGCTAAACGGGGCTTTTCAATTTGGAGGCATTGTTACGGACCCGAGCCCAGCGTCCGAGCACGGAGCTGTGATGACCACGCCATCTGTGGGTCAGCTCCCGAAACCCCCTCCAAATGGACAGCGCCATCTAGTGAAGACAAGATATACCGGCCACAGGGGCTGGTTTCCCGTCCTAATCAGCTCATGACATAGCCGCTGCTGACCTCTGGTGAGGTGACGCTTAGACAGCAACGTCATCTATGGAGTGGATAGGTGGGCGTTTGCGCCTAAGCCTGTAAGTGAGGAGCCCTAGAGTGTAACTAGTACTGATGACGTGTCTGATTACGGAGTCGACCTGGGACTGCTGAATCGGACGGTGGATCAGTCTACCCAAGGCAGCCGAAGTATTTCCACGAGTTTGCTGCAGAAGCTGTGAGTCACCCCCCAGATGAACACTGTTGTGTTAGCCTGCCTGTGACGTGGCAGTTGAGGAATTGTCATACCCGGGGCTGACTGGTGGAGAAGACTAGCCACTGGGGTGTTGTGGTGAGGAGAGTGATCTGTGGAATCACACGAGGCTCCTGCCTAGGGCTCGCAACCCTAGTATCGGTCGTGGAGTGGCCTACACAGCGTAACTGATTGGAACCTGCCAGCTACAGGCTGGATTTGTGGTTGACGGCCTCCACGACGGTGCACCCAGTAGGACTGTGATTTGGCTGGCCTGTGGCCGGGGTAGACTCGCCGAGAGAATCTACGGATTCGTCATGAGGCCACGAGAAGAGGACCAGGGCTACTCATCTTGAGCACCGTGGAACACTCCGCGTCTTCAGAGGAAGACCATATTGTACATTATAGTGTTTATACCCCCCGTGTGATAGTTTATAAATATATTTATTGGTGATGGTAATTATATATTTAAGTTTAGTGCCTTTGTCTCCCTTCCCCTTTAATTTACTTGCGTTACGGAACACACCCCTTGAAAAACTACTAACTTGGGGCCGGATACCCTAACTCTACTAACATCAGAGAAAGAACCCAGTTGCGACCCAATAGGGCCGTAACAGGCATGATAAAGAGACAAAAAAGGTGAAGACATAGCAGTACTGTGAAATAACAAAATGGCAAACAGGAAACCTGCACACGAAGCTCCCAAGACCCCCACCTCACAAGACAAAGCAGGATCAAAGAAAGCGTCAGAGCAGAACACATTATAAAATGGGGAGACCTCCAAGAAAACAGAAGGGTGGAAGTACCTTCCTTTTAACACTTTCGCCCGGGCATGACGCAGCATTGCGTCATCCGTTTACTGTCGTTAATACCGGGGATGATGCAGCATTGCGTTATCCACTTTAAATAATCGCCAAAAATCAGGTTTTTATCCAATTTTTTTGGGACTGGTTTTAAAATGTGCGCCGATGTCTTCCCATTTTCTTTGTTGAGCCTCGTGGCCCTCAGGTGGCTTGGCACACGCCGTGGGCCCATTGTTTTCGCTCCACTGTTGTGACCAATGTCGCCTCCCCTCGCATCTCAAACGTGTGAACATTTCAGCTATTTTCCGTGGCTATATTTCTTACTGCGGCTTTAGAAACTATCTACCCTTACTCCACGATGGATAGTGATCATGAACAAGGCCCTTCCAGGAAGAAAATTGCGAAAGAAAGGCTTGAAAAGGGAGGGAATTGGGAGTGTAGCTGGAAGGCGTCTGAGCGCTCACTCGCGGCTAACGCGTGGCCCGTCTTCAACTCGTCGGCGGTTGGAGTGTAACCAGGTTTTATATTTTATATGCTAATGTTCCTCTAGAGAATTCTATTGCGAACCCATTGAGACAAAAATGAAAGACCTAGGACAAAAATTGAGGTGACCAGAGTGAAAATAGTGAAAACATTTTATCGCGTTTGCGCGCTCCAGGGTAACTCGTTCGCACTTTCTCTGTTTGCTGCGGGTAATTAGCCGGGCTTTTGGAGTTTATATGCATTTAGTGCTGTAGAGAATTCTATTGCGAACACAATGATACCAAATTTAATCTCGTAGGACGAGAATTAAGGTGACAAAGTTGAAGAGAGTATACACTTTTCAGAATTTACGCGCGCTCCCGTGACACCCTGGGTCCCATATCGCCCAGTTGAGGGGTGGCGCGCGGGGTGAGCGAAAGTGTTAATAAACAATGGTAGATTTTACCCATACTATACTTTATTAAAACCAAGGCAAATAAAAAAAATCAAATTGCATACTGGTTGGGCACTATACCATACTCCAATTAGCAGGGAAATGAAGTAACCAACCTCTGGGAAGCACAGGAAGACGAAACCAAACCTTAGGTGGCACACCAGGGTGGAAGTCCAACTGAGAAATGTAATCACTTAATTTGACTTATTCCCAGTAAGTATATAGCAAACATCTGATTAATAAAAATAACTTACCTGTAGAGTGTTAAAACAAGATCTTGTCGAATCCTCTGTACCTGACGCATTTTCAGAGCAAGATGCATTGCTGTTGGGCACTCTCCAGGAATGGCTTGAAAGTGCTGCTCCTTTTTTGATGTTCCACTCGTCCGTGGAAACTGAAGATATGCCCTGAGGGAAAACTATCAAATGAACTAACTCTACATTCATTCTATGATCTGTAACTGATATCATAAGAGCATCAAACAGTTTTACAATCTACTTGTAGTGCAACAAACATTATGAAATAAATTTTCACCATACTGAATATTTAACAAACATTATGAAGTCACAAATGTGGCAATATGGTATTAAAAACCATGTATTAAACACATTGTTTTAATATACAGTACTTTAATATGATCCGCTATACATAATGATACTTTCCAATTGTAATATAAATTCAAGCAATTATATTAATCATTAGATTAATTAAATTTCTTTATTATGCATCCAATACCCATCCCGTGGGCAATGGTGGAAAGGGTTACAGAGACATATAATCGGTTCAGGAACTGAACCCAATAGTTTGTTTAACTAAGCAAGTGATACTCTTTTTGACACTAGTTGCACAATAGTTTGTTATATATACATGTACATATTAGTATATTTTGGTAGCAGTCTTTCCTGTAGACATATTTTATTAAATATGACCGAAAAAGTAAGATTAATAATTCTAACACGAATTTTCTCAATCTTTCGTACATTATGCTTCACTGTTGGAGGTAAATCAAAAATCACTTCTCCAAAATTCATTTTTATTTCTAGTCTGACGCGACACGGGCGCGTTTCGTAAAACTTATTACATTTTCAAAGACTTCACAAATACACAACTGATTAGAACTTGCGTTTCCCTGATTTTATATCTACATTTGAGTGAGGTGGGAAGGGTGATGTGGCATTACATTTGAGTAAGGTGGGAAGGATGATGTGGCATTAGAGGATATTAATAGGGTATTAAAAGTATCAACACAAGACAGAACACGAAACAATGGATATTGAATAGAAGTGTTTGTAGAAAGCCTATTGGTCCATATTTCTTGATGCTTCTATATTGGAGCGGAGTCTTGAGGTGGGTAGAATATAGTTGTGCAATAATTGGCTGTTGATTGCTGGTGTTGACTTCTTGATGTGTAGTGCCTCGCAAACGTCGAGCCGCCTGCTATCGCTGTATCTATCGATGATTTCTGTGTTGTTTACTAGGATTTCTCTGGCGATGGTTTGGTTATGGGAAGAGATTATATGTTCCTTAATGGAGCCCTGTTGTTTATGCATCGTTAAACGCCTAGAAAGAGATGTTGTTGTCTTGCCTATATACTGGGTTTTTTGGAGCTTACAGTCCCCAAGTGGGCATTTGAAGGCATAGACGACGTTAGTCTCTTTTAAAGCGTTCTGTTTCGTGTCTGGAGAGTTTCTCATGAGTAGGCTGGCCGTTTTTCTGGTTTTATAGTAAATCGTCAGTTGTATCCTCTGATTTTTGTCTGTAGGGATAACGTTTCTATTAACAATATCTTTCAGGACCCTTTCCTCTGTTTTATGAGCTGTGGAAAAGAAGTTCCTGTAAAATAGTCTAATAGGGGGTATAGGTGTTGTGTTAGTTGTCTCTTCAGAGGTTGCATGGCTTTTCACTTTCCTTCTTATGATGTCTTCGATGAAACCATTGGAGAAGCCGTTATTGACTAGAACCTGCCTTACCCTACAGAGTTCTTCGTCGACTTGCTTCCATTCTGAGCTGTGGCTGAGAGCACGGTCGACGTATGCGTTAACAACACTCCTCTTGTACCTGTCAGGGCAGTCACTGTTGGCATTTAGGCACATTCCTATGTTTGTTTCCTTTGTGTAGACTGCAGTGTGGAAACCTCCGCCCTTTTCCATGACTGTTACATCTAGAAAAGGCAGCTTCCCATCCTTTTCCGTCTCGTAAGTGAAACGCAGCACGGAACTCTGCTCAAATGCCTCCTTCAGCTCCTGCAGATGTCTGACATCAGGTACCTGTGTAAAAATGTCGTCAACATACCTGCAGTATATGGCCGGTTTCAAGTTCATGTCGACTAAGACTTTTTGCTCGATGGTACCCATGTAGAAGTTTGCAAACAGGACACCTAGGGGAGAACCCATAGCGACCCCATCTACTTGCTTATACATGTGCCCATCCGGGCTCAAGAAGGGTGCCTCTTTATTGATTTCGTGATTTTTGATTTACCTCCAACAGTGAAGCATAATGTACGAAAGATTGAGAAAATTCGTGTTAGAATTATTAATCTTACTTTTTCGGTCATATTTAATAAAATATGTCTACATGTACATATATATACAATCATTTATACATATACATATCGATAATCTCTGCCTGAAACGTAATACGTGCTAGTGGCTTTACAAGAATGTAAAAACATTTAATGCTATGTACTCTCATAAACCCAATGTACCTTCTTCTATTTAGTTATAAATAAATAAATAAATAAATAAATAAATAAATAAATAAATATCACAAGTGATTCAACAAGAGGCTCACAACAGTCATTATACAAGGCACTTTACATCTACGATGAGTCTCACAGTCTTGCTCCACACCCATTAACTGGGCGGCAGCTTCACAGACATATGCATTACTTACTGCATTACCTACAGTAAGAAAATTTTGGATACTTTGCCAAGATTAGGTAATGCTAATCATTAGGTTAGCCAAGATTAGGTTAACCATTAAATTAGGTAATGAAACCCAATCATTTAAGCTACTCAAATCTATTTTACTGAGATACTATACTGTATTTTATCACACAAATTAATGTTATGTATTCAAATGTTCTCTTCTTAAAATTTTGTTTATACTGATACATTACCATTCAAACACTCACATTCATGCGGTGTATCAGATAATGAAAACAATCATCTTATCAATAAAGGTAACACCAAAAAGTCTAGAAAGGTTCCATTCACCTGGGCTCTAGGAGACTTTCATGGAAAGGTTTTCTAAACTATAATCTCCAGAATGTTAGACCACTTTGTGCTCAGCATCATGCTGTGTTTGAAGTGTGTCTAGTGCTGTGAAGTTTGTATGAATAAACTTTAAAACTGTTGGTATAGAGCTTTGCGCATTAATTTATCTGTCTCTATGAACCTGTTGCTCTTTAACTTTTAGGATTTTATCCTTCACATGCAGTGGATATGATGACAAAGAAAGCAACCCCCTATGAAAATGAGGTCTTATTTTCAGCAAGAACCAAGAAGGCTGCAAAAAAAAAAAAAAAAAAACTCAAGAACAAGAGTAAAACTCATTGCATCTTGTGTAGAAATATATCAAACAAAACAAGCAAAATTTGCATGGAATGGAAGCCAAGTAAGTAATTATCAAAAGAAGGCACCAAACCGGGAAGGCTATGTAGCACCATCAAATACGCAAAATAATCAGAGGGCGCTAAATATCACCAAGGATGCCAATACGAGAACAAAAACGCACAAGGCGAACGATATCAAAAGTATCCGAGTCACCAAGAATTCTATCGAGGGAGAGGTGACCGCGAGGGGCGGTCGGAAAGCAAGACACACGCTCGTCCTGGAAGTCAGGACATTCAAGAAGGACATGCAGGAATGGAAGCCAAGCACAACAACAACAACATGCCACAGCCTACAAATGCAGCCAGCCGGCTTGCCTAACAACTGGTTATGTTGTTCAACTTTTTAAATTCTTTATACTTCACTTTTATTGTGGGTTATCTTCGATCCCCACCTGCTGCCCTGCCTCTACGAGGGAATATTGTATATTGGCATTTGTTCCCAGTGGGCCAAGAAAGTTTCAGGTGCTGGAGGAGACCATGAGGTAGTGTGGCAAGCATAGGGAAGCTAAAAAAGGGACCAGCCAAGAAAATATATATTTGTTTTAAATTTATTTTCCCTGCCATAATGTAACACCAAAAATGCTCAATAATATTAATTCTCCTGATATATACTGTATATAAATTTAGTATGTACTTTCTCAATTGCCATACTACAAAATTTGAAATTACTTTTTTTCAAAGAATATCAACTACAATATTTGAAATTATTTTTTTCACAATAACAACTACAATATTTAAAATTACTCTTTTTTTCCACAGAACAACAAATTAAAAGAACAGTGGCCAATTGTCCTGCATACTTTAAAATAAAGCTTAAAGTGTTAATACAGAGCAAAGCTTTTTGTGCACAAAACAGGCAATATTTGTACATTTTTAATGGGAATGATCCCTTCACCACCACTACCCATATAATTCTCCAAGCTGTATAAAGTTGATGCCTCCTCATCCCAGGAAGGCTGGTCATGGCATGTAAATTTAAGAGTACTGTAACTTGTAATGCCCATTAATAACAAAAATACAAGAAAATGCTCTAATGTCCACATGTGAAGAATGATGGCTTGGTCCCATCTTCCTACTAAACTAAATATTTGAAGAATAATAACAAATCTCTACTTACTTGCTTCCCTCATATTTAATTTCAAGGTTTTGTGAACATTCCTTAAAGAGCTCTCTGATTTGATGGTCATAGAGGATATTAGTGTCTGCTGGAAGGCCTCCCACCACAACAGTTGTAAAGGGATCGTGCCCACTCAGTTCCCGACACATCTCACGCTCGTAGTCTTCCGGTATATTTCGTTTATAATATAGAGGAAAGAAAGCACCAGCAAAACACACCTAAGTGGGACAATAAGAACGCAAATTAGAATGACATACAGTACACACATTTTGTAGTCTACAATTTACAACTACCGTACACAGAATCTGTTCCACTTTAATTTGGCTGAATCACAGTCCGGGTTTCACAGTAAGTAAAAGTAAGTAATTTCACAGAATCACAATCAGAGCACAGTCCGTATTCCATCAGGGAACACACTTCCGCATGCCCCGGGAGGTACTGTAGAGCGAGGAATAGAGCAGAGGGCAGCATAGAAGACAGCTTCATGAAAAAGGAAGAGGGCACGAGGGAGAGGCAGAGTGGAGAGGTTGGAGAGAGTAACACAGAGGGTGAATAGGTTCCAGGCAGCCTTGGCAAACTGCCTCCTATGGAAGGAGAGGGGAGGGTGAAAAGATAAAAAGGTAACAAGGATGGGGAAAATGGTCACTGTTATGGAGGTCATCAAGAACCCCTGATGTGAAATCCAAGTAAAAAGACGACAAGCAGAGAGAAAAAGATCAAGACAGAAAAGGGTGCGAGTATGGGAGTCCACATGAGTGGGTTCACCAGAATTCAGAAGAGACAGGGAAGAAGAGAGGACAAACGATTTGAGAAGGCAGCCTCAGGTGTTAGTCGGAACATCACCCCAGAGGGTATGCCGACAGTTGAAGTCACCCAACAGCAGCACAGGCTCTGGCAAGGAGTCCAGTAGGTGCTTAAGATCAGGAAGAGAAATTGGGACATTTGGGGGGAGATAAATGGAATAGACTGTATACCATTTACTCACAAAGACACGGGCTGCAGAGCATTGGAAATGCGTTCGAAAAAGTAGGGGGACGAAGGAAACATCAGTTCGAATCAAGAGAGCAGTAGAGTTACGGGCCTCAGCAAAATCTGAGGGTGGGGGAGAAAAAGGAATAACCATGAAAGTGACCAGGACAAGCACCAAGCATCCACTACTGGAGACACATACACAAAGTGGTAAGAACTACGTAATCAGAAGTGGAGTTCATTGAAATTTGCATAAAAGCCACAAATATTCCATTGAAGAATAGACATTGTCAAAAGGAAAGAGGACAGCAATAGAGAACAATGAAGAAACAAAGGCAAAGAACAACACAGCATATTAAAGACGATCAGGGTCAGCGAAATCAGGGTTAGGAAGCATGGGTAAACTTAGTAAGGGCGGAGTTAAGTGAGCGGGAGGACAGACCAGAGGCAGACGGATGGGGTCTGGAGGAGGAGACAATCGAGAGGGGCAGTCAAGGACAGCAGGAGAAGAGGGGGAGGGGGCAGAAACCAGGGAGCACAGCTCAGCAAGGGCAGCAACCGAGAGGGATTCGGGGGCTAAGAAACCTCCATAGCTGGAACCCACAGTAAACCCACATAGCTGGTATCCCGGTCCCAGAGAGGTGTACGCGAGCCTTTCACCTCGGCAAGACGACACCACGGAGGGGAGGTGCTCCAGTAGATAAAGGAGTATCTAAGCAACAGGAAACGGTAACTGTGAGAGGGGGGGGGGGGAGACATCACAGTAGCAAGATGTCACCAGCAGAGTCCCAAAGGGTTCTGTACTTGGACCCATCCTGTTTCTGATATATGTAAATATGTGTTCCTCTCAATGTTTGCTGATCATGCAGAAATTATGAGAAGAATCAAGACAGATGAAGATAGACTACAGGACAATCAGGACAAACCGGAGGAATGTTCTGGAAAATGGTTACTAAAGTTCAACTCAGGAAAGTGTAAAGTAATAAAATCTAGTATGAAAATTAAATAATCAAATCAAATCAATCAAATCAAATGTTTATTTAGGTAAGGTACATACATACAAGAGATTTTACAAAGAGTGATGGATTTATAGATAGGGCTAGTACATACAATGCCTTAAGCCACTATTATGCAAAGCGTTTCGGGCATGAAAAACTTAAATGACTAAAGCTTAATACTAATTGAGCATAAAGAGTAAAATGAAAACATGGAATGAAAACATAGCTGAAAAAGCAGCACAAATACAATTCTGTCGACAAACAGCGCTCTTTAAAAAAAACAGACATTGGTTGACAATAGAGGGGTAAGGTAGGTTACAGGGAATTTATTAGGTATACCTTCGTTTTTATCTTAAACTGGTTGAGAGAGGTACAGTCTTTAACATGGTTGGGAAGGTCATTCCACAATCTGGGTCCCTTGATTTGTAGAGCATTTCTAGTTTGATTAAGTCGTACTCTAGGAATATCAAAACTGTATTTATTTCTGGTGTGGTGCTTGCTCAAACAAGCAACAAATCCTTCCATAATAAAATCAGTACTTAAATGACAATTAATACAAAAATATTAATGACTACATTCTTCACAAGATTTAGAATAATTTTGTAAACTCTCACCTTGAGAATGAATGTTTGGTCATTTCTGGATGTATTATGCAGACATCCAGCAGTGATTTTGAGTGCCTCCAAACGATGTGTTAATTCTTTCACTAAACAATGCACTTCCTGAAGGACACTGAGCTGCACATAACTGTGTCTAGCCCAGTTTTTCTCATTTTTGCTATCTGGACGCAAAAACTCTCCCCTTATTTTCATACCCTGCCAAAGCTAAGTAAAACACTGCTGTCAGAATTAATACTACACCATAGTAACACACAGAAAACTTCATAATTTGTAACATATGCCATTATATCCAGCAATACAAAATTGTAAAATACTTAAAAATATATATATATATATATATATATATATATATATATATATATATATACACACAATTATAATACAATAAAAATCTGATATGTAATTCTAAAAACTGCCACAGTAGGTCTATGAGGCTGAAAATTAACACAATAGGTAACATTATTCACACGACATCAAGTCATTGTAACAACTGTATGGAATTCAAAAGAAAATATATGGGCATGAAGTAGAAACAAAACACTCCTTTTTCATAGGAAGTTCCTTACTCGCTCCACATATCAGAGCTTGAAATTCACCCAAAACACAGTTTGCACACCATAGTCTAGTTGACCAAGTCTTTGTAAATAGTCATTACATAGCTGGGATAAGGAGAATAGTGTAACTCAATCCACCAACAAGTGACCATTCTGTCCTCTTCAACCACTCTTGTTCCTCCTGAGCCATCTGAATTTCCAGCAGTTGTTGTCTTCCTAGTTTCTAGTCACAGTTTCAGTGATATCTGTTTTGTTTCCAGCTGGCACCTGGTTTCAACTTGTCTTTGGCAGCCATGTGGAAGACCTCCAGGTTCATTGGTTGCAGATACCTTCTTCCTTTAATGCTACATGCGCTATTTTTTTATGAAGTTCTTTGGGCTTAGCGGCTTGGTTATCATAATGTTACTCGTACCATCTGTTGAGTGCACCCGACCTCTATTCTTTTAGGAGGGGAGGTGTGACGATGTCAATGCCATCTGTTGAGCACACCCGACCCCAATTCTTGTTTCCCGGTGGAAGGCTGTGATCATATCGTCCCCTGTGTAGTGTCTTTCTTATTAATCACTTCACCCAGGGCAGTCCTGAACGTAAGACGTGTTTCGGTGGATACAAGTGGCCAATTCAGTGCAGACTGATTTGTACGTGATATGATACTTGAAGTATTGGTGATTGGACTGACGTACTCCAGGATGGTCAAGTTGAGTTACAAGATGGAATCAATGTCCGTTTGTTAATGCATGTTATAGGCCTGCCAGCGTGTTGCTGAAGACCCCTGCCAGCGTGTTGCTGGAGACCCCTGCCAGCGTGTTGCTGGAGACCCCTACCAGCGTGTTGCTGGAGACCCCTGCCAGCGTGTTGCTGGAGACTCCTGACAGTGTGTTGCTGGAGACCCCTGCCAGCGTGTTGCTGGAGACTCCTGCCAGCGTGTTGCTGGAGACCCCTGCCAGCGTGTTGCTGGAGACCCCTGCCAGCGTGTTGCTGGAGACCCCTGCCAGCGTGTTGCTGGAGACTCCTGACAGTGTGTTGCTGCAGAGTAGAAGTGGTGTTTTGGCACCGAGACGATACTGTATAGGACTGACCCATGATTTACAGAGTAAGGTGAACTCGCCGGTATGAGGACCATAGAATACAGACTCAGAGTGAATCTTAAAGTGGTGTACAATAGAAGATAGAAGTGGGCTTGTTGGAAAAAGATTGTAGAAGTTTTATTGTCCTGTGCAAAAGTGACACCTGCAACGTTATGTCATATACGTACGTACGCGTGTGTGTGTGTGTGTGTGTGTGTGTGATATATATATATATATATATATATATATATATATATATATATATATATATATATATATATATATATATATATATATATATATATATATATATATATATATATGTCGTACCTAGTAGCCAGAACTCACTTTTTGGCCTACTATTCAAGGCCCGATTTGCCTAATAAGCCAAGTTTTCCTGAATTAATATATTTTTTCTAATTTTTTTCTTATGAAATGATAAAGCTACCCATTTCATTATGTTTGAGGTCAATTTTTTTTTATTGGAGTTAAAATTAACGTAGATATATGACCGAACCTAACCAACCCTACCTAACCTAACCTAACCTATCTTTATAGGTTAGGTTTGGTTAGGTAGCCGAAAAAGTTAGGTTAGGTTAGGTTAGGTAGGTTAGGTAGTCGAAAAACAATTAATTCATGAAAACTTGGCTTATTAGGCAAATCGGGCCATGCATAGTAGGCTGAGAAGTGCGTTCTGGCTACTAGGTACGACATTATATATATATATATATATATATATATATATATATATATATATATATATATATATATATATATATATATATATATATATATATATATATATATATATATATATATATATATATATATATATATATATATATATATATATATATATATATATATATATATAGTTAAGAAGTACATTTGGTGATGGTTCTGTTTAGTGTTATTTACCTCCCTTTTCTTTTAGATTGAGTATTATTGCCAGTTCTTAACTTGCCTATGACTTGGGGTGGGATTGAGTAAGAAAAGGCACTAAGGCCCTATACACAGTTTGATAAGTAAAGAATCCAATTACTGGTTAAGTGAGGCCAGAACAGTCCAGTGGCTGCTGTTTGCATTTTCTGCAGAATACTCAAGATTCCCTTGTGGTACCTCTGTTCTTTCATCCTCGGTTCCTTTTTCATTGCTCCTTTGCTCGCCATTCTCCAACTTTAGCAACTGCAATCCTTCTGGTCTGCTAATTTGCTGAGCTTGCCAAATTATTCTTAAATGTGTCTAAAGCCATATTCTAGACCTGAGCATCTATTACTCATTCAAATGCTGGTGATCTGTTATCTTCCACTATTGCTCATTGTTTACCTAAGTTTACCAGAGGGCCACCATCTCTAGGGCCTCAATGGGGACCGGGTTAACAAAGGTCTCCCAATATTCTTGTGTATTTTTTCCAATCAAATTTTAAACTGAAGTACTGTGTAGACAACCAAACCATAACTCGGAAGATGGAGAAGCAACAACATTTCGGTCAGTCCTGGACCATTATCAAGTATGTGAAACAGGTAAGAGATGGTAAGAATAAAGTAAGAATAAGGTAAGGATAGGATGAAGGTAAGAATAAGGTAAGAATAGGATGAATGTACAGACTTTAGCAGTTAAATCTTCTGCTGGTAGGCATTGCAATGGATCCCTATTGGTGAAAAAGTATCTACTTTCTGTCCTACATTGTGACTTTATAAGCTTGAAGCTGTTGCCCCTTGTGAGAGCTACATTGGATCTTTAAGAGACATGGGTCAGGATTAACATCTAATTTGTTTTTAATTCAATAACAATATTGTAAATTTAATTACATACCAGTATTCTCGGTTTAAATGGTCGAAACTAATATATTAAATCTTACAAAGAAAAATTTACTGAATTTACTGATACATAAACTTGGTCTAAGTGAATGCAAACCATGTTTTGTCCTGCATATATACTTCACTGCCTTAATTTTTTAAACCCTTCAGGATCATCCATCAGTAAACACACACCTTCATGCACTCTCCTGGTTGCTCTCATCAATCAATGGTGTTTTGTCATTCCATTACAATGCTGCATCAATAAATCTGTTAGTGATTTAATTACAGTCTGTTTATTTTGGTAAATTATTGATTTACTAGTCTGCTATTCTCCTCGCAATGCAATCGCATATATAATTAGGAAAATATTCTACATAACTGTACATCCTTCGTTCGATTTAGTTTTAACAACTTCATTAACAAGGGTCATAAGCAGGTATAATTGAACATGTTTTTATTTCATTCACTTATGGTAGGTACCAGGAGACTTGAACCACCGACCCCACGGGTGTGAAGCAGAAGCTCTTCCACTGTACTATGAGATGGTTACAATATGAAAGATTGGCATGGGTCACTTTTTCCTATTTACTTTGCAGCAGCAGGCGAAAGTATAAAATTTCAGGTGGGCAGCGGATTATTACCTCTGAAATCTTTTGTATTGTAGTTTGTCTCAATACTTACTGTACAGTGGAATAACTTCTGCCTAACATCCATGGGGTCAGCGGTTCGAGTTTCCTAGTGCCCAAGTGAATGAAATGTTTATTTCCACAATAGCGTGGAAATAAACATTTATTACTAAATAATAAATATTTACTGTTTATAAAAAATAAACAGTTTTTAAATAGCGTGGTTGACAATTTATGTTTTTATTATTGACACTCTTGGCATTTGTTGTGAAAAAATATTAAGACTAGCAAAATAATTTGGAAAATTCTGCAACTTCTTGCATTATGTAGAAATAAACAGAAGCAATTATAGATAATTATCCTTACATCATATACGTTGAGAACAGCAAGACAATCTGAGAAGGTTCCATAAGACCAAGACACTTTAGAAAGGTAAGCATTCAGCTCGTCTTGGAATGGCCGTGAATGGATGTTTTTTAAAGACAGACCAGCAGCTGTAAAAGAATTAAATACTGTATACAAATTAACAAAAGGAAACCCTTTAAGTTTATTTAATCATTTATAGAAAGTTAGAGTAACAGTAGTGCACATCAAAACAGGTATTAACAGCTTCATAATCAGACCTTGTACCTTGACTACCCATTTCCTGCCTCAATTTAAATTCAAAATGCTTTCATACAACACCCAAAATATCAAACATATAAAACATGAGACTTTACCAGTCTCCGTGGTGCAGTGGTAAGACACTCGCCTGGCGTTCCGCGAGCGCTATGTCATGGGTTCGTATCCTGGCCAGGGAGGATTTACTGGGCGCAATTCCTTAACTGTAGCCTCTGTTTAACGCAACAGTAAAATGTGTACTTGGATGAAAAAACGATTCTTCGCGGCAGGGGATCGTATTCCAGGGACCATAGGATTAAGGACCTGCCCGAAACGCTACGCGTACTAGTGGCTGTACAAGAATGTAACAACTCTTGTATATATCTCAAAAAAAAAAAAAAAAAAAAAAAAAAATGTGCAGGCGATGAGTCACAATAATGTGGCTGAAGTATGTTGACCAGACCACACACTAGAAATTGAAGGGACGACGACGAAGGGACATGACGAGAATGGTCCAGGACGGACGGAAACGTCGTCGTCCCTTCAATTTCTAGTGTGTGGTCTGGTCAACAATCAATATAAAACATGCTTCAATATTGGATAAATACTCTAGAAAAACAGTCCATGGTGAAATCTTCTAGTTAGTACTATATTACAGGTATGTTATCAATGTGCAACATCCACCAAGTCAACTAACCCCCTCGGTTGCTTCATGAGCTATGCACTCGTATGGTTCACCCAGACAGCAATACACTCAAGACTTCTGACCAGAGAAACCATTAAAGAGTAACAAATTTATTTCACCATGTAATTACAGTAGTACTTCTAAAGGTACTACCCCAGTCACATGGGCTGGACGGTAGAGTGACGGTCTCGCTTCATGCAGGTCGGCATTCAATCCCCGAATATTCAAGGGGTTGGGCATTATCCCCCCCATCTCATCCCAAATCCTTATCCTGACCCCTTCTAAGTGCTATATAGTCTAATGGCTTGGAGCTTTCCTCTGATAGTTCCCATACCTTATAAAGGTACTGAAGCTAATCCCTTTACTGCCTAGAACGTGACATCTTTCCTCACATTATCATCAGTAACAACAATATATCTACAATAGTGACAATGAAAACAACAAAAAAAGAAGGCTTAAGTTGGAGATAATTTGCCTCAACAAAACAGTTCTTGACTCACCAATAATTACACATTCCCTGAGGCAGCCAAATAGATAACCCATGACTATGAGCTTTCCAAGGAAAGGATCCACAGGTAGACGTGCCACCACTTTGCCCAAGTAAGTTAAATCACCATCAAAAGAAGACACTCGGCCATGGGATTTAACACCAAGAGCACCCATCTGAGGAATATTGAACGTGTCACTTTATTATATAGAGTTTTTTATTTACAGTTCAAATCACAGCCATTCATGGGAGGCATTCCTTGCTTCTACACCCCATAAATCACCTTGCCCAATATGGTACGAGACTATAGGCTTTATAAAAATTAGAAATACCTACTATGCAGCCATTGTTACAAGAGCCTCTAGAATTTTGTATAAATTATTATTATTACAACACACAAATCACAATAATGTGATATATGAAATGTACAAATCCACAGGGGCCTTGATAAGGGTTCGAACCGACGCGCTGAATGTTCACAGACGCGCCTTAGTCAATTGTACCACAACATGGTAAAAATTATCAATGATACAGTACAGTATTATCCTTGTAATTTGGCCATGTCGTGGTACAGTTGATTAAGGTGCATCTGGGAACACTTGACACACAGGTTCGAACCCTCATCAAGGCGTCTGTGGATTTGTTCATTATTATTATTATTATTATTACAGTATTATTATACAGTATTATTATTATTATTGAGAAGCAAAGGATATGGGTTCATCCAAATGATTTGACTTAACACGCTTACACAAGTATTAGGTCATTTCTTCATCATTATCAATTGTACCTGGATGGGGTTCTGGGAGTTCTTCTACTCCTCAAGCCCGGCCAGGCTTGATTTTTGAGAACTTGGCCCAACAGGCTGTTGCTTGGAGTGGCCTGCAAGCCCACATATCCACCACAGCCCGGTTGGTCCGGCACTTCTTGAAGAAAACTAGCCAGTTCTCTCTCTTTTAAAGATTTACACATTTGTTCCAGCAATATTTCTCATGCTCGCTGGGAGTATGTTGAACAACTGTGGACCTTTGATGTTTGTACAGTGTTCTCCAATGTGTGTATGGCACCTCTGCTTTACACTGGTTCTATTCTGCATTTCCTTCCATATTGTTCACCCCCAGTATTTTATTACCATTTATTATTATTACAGTACAATAAAAGCAATAGAATGCAAATTTAAAAAATACACTCTCTTCCAATATGCATACATTTCAAAATATATACAGAGAAAGAGTTATAGACAAGGTATGCAATTCTGTCTCTCCTCTTAACTTAGATCTTGTATTTATGGTGTCACCCCTTGTGGCAAATCCCTGAACCAAATAATTTCCGGCCCCTACCATGAGTGGATTTATTGTTGGTGCCATACACATGTGGACTGGCCTAGCGTAATGAAGGATTATTTGATGGTTTTCTGAAAGTTCATTCTTATATGTCTGCAAACATTGCATGTGCTCCTGACATTATTTTGTATATGTGCACTTAAAAGGTACGAGGCTGTGTCTCATGGCCATTCAGGTCTTTATAGTTGCCTCCCTCTCCATTTATACTATACATAAGGCAACAACTTTCCCTAACCTCTCCTAAGACTAGTGTACTAAATACATGTTAACTTTATTTACCCGAGGGGTCACAGTCCCTAGTTGCCTCGACGAGGACAGGAAGGTGACTGCTTGTCCAAGGTCCCCCTGCCCGAGCCCCCCCCCCCAACCTGCCTTTATGATAATGTACTACATAATCTACCTTGATAATTATCGACTCGGGGTCTGATAGCCGAGTGAACAGCACTCAGAATTCCTAGTTTTGAAGTTCCGGGTTCAATTCCCTATGGAGGTGGAAACAAATGGGCAGTTTCTTTCACCCTGATGCTCCTGTTCACCTAGCAGTAAATAGGTACCTGGGAGTTAGACAGCTGCTACGGGCTGCTTCCTAGGGGTGTGTAACAAAAAGGAAGCCTGGTTGAGGACTGGGCCGCGGGGACGCTAAGCCCCGAAATCATCAAGATCACCTCAAGATAAGAGATGATATGTACTACACGAGATGAAACGTAGTACATGTCTAAAAATGGTGTATAGGAGTTTATACACCATTTTTATGCTGTGCATAAAAATTAAGCATTGGGTCTGTTCTGTATTTTTTGTTAGTGAGTAGGACAACTTTTTGTGGTTCTAGAATTGAAATTCCATATTTGGGGTTTTCTATCTCCAAATAGAAGTGAGACTGGATAGATAAGTTTCTTGTGTTTTCCAGTCATTTCTTGAAGAAAGAAGTTTATATATTTGCCCTGTCTTGTCAAAACCAGCAGTCTCTTTGGCGGTGGATGCAGCGTTATCTTCCATTGTCCCTCCCCAATTGAGAAAGTAAAATGATTCAAATAGGTGCATGGTCTCCATGGGGCACAAGTCCTTTTTGCCCGACTATAGTTTTATCATCCTAGGCAGGCACAATACTTGCCTCAAGGTACAACTGTGAGGGAGGGAATGGGGGGAGGGGGGGTTATAGGGTTTGCTTGATATAAAAAAAAAATAAAAAAAAAAATGCATACATGAAAAAATTTAATGGATAGGAAAAAAACGTTCATTAAAATGTACCTGAAAAATTTGACAAAATTACTTCTGCAATTGCTTACCCAGGTCATCAATCCATCTTGTCAAACAAAAGACAAATGATCATAATACATTACACATGTTTACTGGGGTCACTGTACATGCAGTTCACTTGGGTATGCGTGACATTCACTTGCCTGCTTCAGTATTAGAATAGTTCTGTATATATCCGCCATATTTGGAGGATCAAGAGCCAAAGCCAGGAGAGAATGGGGTTCACCCATATTAAGAATCTTCGTCTTCAGTATCACCTGACTCAGAGGGATGCGGCACAGCTCAGGCGTAATATATGATGGAAGCGTCTGAAAGATGATTACTGTACATGCTTACTATTAAAGATTAAACCTAACCCCACATCTTTTGCATACCCCAAGCAACTAAAGCCTCACTGCAAGGTTAATTTTATCCTTGTAATTTGTTTATTTATATTCAAGGCAAGAATTTAGAACAGATTTCCATGCATAACAGATAAGCCATTACAAGTAATTTTCATTGAAAAAAAAAAAATTATCAACTTACATATTAAACAAAAACATTTACCCAGTGTTTGCTGAAAAACTGCTTTCTGAGCAAGGTATTCAGTTGCTCCTTTAACCCTTAAACTGCGCATGGCGTATATATACGCCCTGAGTAACATGTCCCATGGTGCGCATGGCGTATATATACGCCATAGGGTGCCAGGCCTGATTCAAATGGCCCGCGGCTACACGGGGTTCACAGTAGCTTCCTCAGGGCTCTTGTAAACAGATGCAATTTAAAAAAAAAATCGTGGGCAATATTCTCAGGTGTGAGAGGCACAGTACTGTTGGAGCAACCAAGGCCGGCGCACGCAGCATGAGCGAACAGCATTGATGTTCAGCTTGTGACCACAGCATCGCCGAAAAATGTCAAAATAAATATATAATTGTTATTATTTAGCGATGACAATATTACAGATGACCAATGACTGTGATATAAATAACCAGGGTTGTGATAATAGCAGGATTATTGTAATAATTAGCGCTGTGGGAGGAGTGATGCTGAGAGACGGAGGGAGACAGCATCGTTTACTGACTGTGTGGCCACCTGTTATTGTTTGCATTCACCATACCAGGTCAGTGGTTCTCTATGGTGAACACAAATGTAGATACTTATATATAATGTGTGTATTAGTGTAATAACAGCAAAAGGATTATGCTGGGAGGAGCCATATGGGTGACGGAGGTGACGTCGTCTGCATGATTTGTCTAGCTGTTTAGAGGGTGGCTAATATGCTCTTTGGGCGCACTACAAGCTTAGGTGTACAGTTACGGTGCATAAAACATGTAGATATTTATATATATTATGTGTATATAGGGTAATAACACTGCAAAAGGTATTGTTGGGGGAGAAAGTTTAGTGCGTGTGACCTTGAAAGAGTGAGGGAGCCGCCAGCCGCCATCTGTGTATAGCGACGACTCTTAGTGCCTGAACTAACTATATCAGCTTAGCTGTACAGTTGTGGTGAATAAAATATACATATACTTATATGTAACGTCTGTATATAGTGTAATAACACCACAACTGGTATTGTTGGGGGAGAAAGTTTAGTGCGTGTGTTGAGGGAGTGGCAGCGAGTGGCTGGCTGGTGTGTGGCGGTAACTCCTTGTTGCTTTTCGACTCTCAATACCAACTTAGTGGTTCGTTATGGTGACCAAAACATGCCAATACTTATATATAACCTGTGTATAGAGTGTAATAGCAGCAAAACTATTTGTTTATAGTTTTATAAACATAATAATTGAATCACTAATATGCACATCATACTTTTGAGTATAGCGATTATTAACCACTTTTATTATATAAATATATTACAATACACACTATTGAATAATATTACTGCAAAAAAACTAAGAAAATATCAATCGGAGACATTGAAACAATTAGGTAATAATATCTTTGTGGCAACTCCCATCTGTCAACGCGGGTGACGCTGACCGGGTCTGACGACCGCTCTGTCAACACCCACTTTTTGCCAGACTTCCTCGGTCAATTGCGCCCAAAATATGTCACCTACGATTTTTTTTTTATTTTTTCCGTGCTCAGGGGACACAAATTAACATGTTTAGAAGACGAAAAAAATTTTTTGAATTTTTTTTTTTCTTGCGCACAGAGGTGTAAATGTCCCAAGGACCCCTGAGCAGTGTAAGGGTTAATCACAGATTTACTCTTTCCACAAATAGTACTGTATTATGAAGTGATGTCACTTACCATTAGGAAGTCTGAAGAGAAGGATGCACATCGTCGCTCCAGAGGAAGAAAGATATGCGTGTCTTATGGAGAAGAATGTGTGAGGAGCTTTGTGAGTGAAGCATGAGGAAGCTGTGGGAGGGCGAGTGGTGACGCATCTCTTAAATAGTGGCAAAGAGTAGGGGCAACCTGAAGCCAATTCAGTTGTCGTGCCCTGGAGAACCACGGTAGTGAATCCTACAAGAGGATTTGTCGGGCAGGTGTACCAGATTGTGTTACGGTGCCCTCTCCTATTTCTTTCGTTTGCCGGCTTAAAGAGTCATATCAGCTCTCCCTACTGATTCTCTGAGGTTCAGGGAGTCTAATGATATATGTGGCGACCAGACCGGCTGCCATTTTATGGAAGGAGGTTATATTATAAGTTGTAAATAAAGGAAAATTGGCGCCCTGTTATAAAATGAAACAGTATCCCCTACGGCGGATATGACCTTTTGGAAGGGAGACAAGCCGATCGCGGATTGGCCGACGTAGGTCGCGGGCGACAAATCAGGGCCCGCCATGACGTCACCGAGTGCCCCGGGCGGCGCCAACGTCAGAGTTGTACTGACCGTGGAAGCGACAGGACGCGCCTCGGTCTGCTCTCAGGGATTGGAGGCTCTGCAAGCCTTGTTCAGTGGATAGAGCTGGCTGTCGCAGCCACCATAGTTATTGGAGACCCTGCGCTTCTGGGAAGCCAAAGAGGAACCAAGTTCAGTGAGCAGAGAAGTGCCCAAACTTGGAAAATAGTCGGCGACGACGCTGGGCGGCGCCGCTGGCTGGACGTTGAGGTCTGGAAGGTGGGCGAGCAAGCTAGCTGTGACTGGGGTCACATCCACTGAGAATCTTGGAAGGACGACACCGTGCCTAGGACAAGGAGCGACGCCCTGTGGGAGAGGCGAGTGTGGGGAAAAATAGTGATTAGCTCAGCGCCCATCGATGAACCAGGATTGGGGCAGCTGAATCTCAGGGATTGGAACGGCGACGACGCGAAGGCTTCACGACACCTGAGGGCCTGTGGAACGTCCAGGATCGTCCAGGATCGACCCAAGGAAGCGTGGGAACCTCACACCATCGAGGGACAGGCGTCGTGAGCCAGGAGTGTAAGGTAGATCATTTTTCCCTCCCATTACCCCTTGTATGAGTAGGCTAGTTAGGCCACAATATTTACTTGTGTATGTGGCAGCAAGACTTTATTACTTTAATAGTAGAATAGGCTGCAAAGCAGCTTGTGTCCAGGACTGTCAGAGAGGACAGTGTGTATGGATGGCAGGACAGTGAAGAAGAGGTGCCGACGTGGTGAAGAGGCCCTCCTGTGAGAGTGTGAGACTCCTGTCTTCCTGCCCATTTGAAGGAGTGTTGGAGGTCGTGGAAGAAGAGGCTGACGATCTCCAGACTCATTATCCATATTCCATATTCATGTATTACTTGTGATTGTGTGTGTGTGTTCATGTAATTTGCGTCAGTAAATCCACACATTTTATTACTGTGTTTGAGTGTGCCTCCATTTGTGATATTTCTCTATGAGCATACATTTCTGGCTACAAACGATATATGATACACCCACTGAACTGCATTGCTGGGGTGCAGATATAATAACCCAGCTGGCGACCTTGCTAAGAGGAAGATAGAGAAGACAGGCGGGAAAGGAGTTCCTGCAACCTTTTTTTGTCTGGCAGGCAAGACTCAGGGAGGTTATGGTTATAGGTAAGCCTGAGTCTTCCTTCACTCCCCCACGGGTCTAGGCCGGAACTGTTAACAGCAGTTTCCCCGTGGTTGACTGAAGGGCTTCCAGGGTGAATCAGTGGCACCCCTTTGTGGTGGAAGCAAAGACCTGCGGAGGTGGGCATTGTTGGTCCTATCTTGTGTGACCAAGGAGACTCCGGTGAATCCAGGGAGTCGGAGGGGCTGAGTATTTGGGCCTTTTGAGCCCCTAGCAGCCGAGTGTTAGCAGAGCCCCGGACCGCCCACCCCCACGTGACAAGAGAACTGGCGACCTCGCCAGGATTCGAACCCCAGTAGCCAAGAACTGGGAACTTCGCCAGGAAGCGTGGATCAAGCTACAGTGTGGACCAAATTGCAAGACAAGTGTTGCCAGGGTACTAATACAGTGTGGCCAGTGAATTCGGTGGTACTGTTACTCAACCAGCTAAGGGACTGAAACGGTGAAATTAGTGCCTACTAACTTGTCTGTGCTGTCGTGTATGCTCAATGATATAGAGATGGAGGAAGACAAAGTAAAGAAATTTATTGACACAAGGGACGAGAGAATTTTGGAAGAGTGTACCAAGGCCCAGCTCCAACAAGTGGCAAACCACTTTGGGATCAGGTTGAGGACGACTAAGGTAGCGGAGCGAAGGATAGAGATCATGGCACAGCTCACAGCTCGAGAGGAAGCGACGGGAGAGGAGCCATCTCAAGAGGAGCCGTCCCGAGGAGAGCCGTCGCAAGGTGAACCGTCCCGACTAGGGCCACCCCAAGCGCCTACCAGTGTGGAGAGAATTCACAGTGAACATGGGAGCAGTGGAAGGTCCAGCTGTAGTAAGAGGAGCCTGCAACTGGAAATAATGAAGATGCAACTGGAAGCCCAGCTGCGACGAGAGGAAAGAGAAGCGCAAATGCAGCGAGAGGAACGTGCAGCTGAGCTGCAGCGAGAGGAACGTGCAGCTGAGCTGCAGCGAGAGGAACGTGCAGCTGAGCTGCAGCGAGGTGAGCGAGAAGCACGGCTGCAGCTGCAGCGAGAGGAGCGAGAAGCTCGGCTGCAGCGAGAAGGAGAGAGACGACTGCGACTGGAGGAGATAAAGGCAAAGAAAGAAGTCGAATTGCGTCGCGTTGAACGTGGTCTGCCCTCACTACCTGCACGGCGGGATGACCTCAAGGTAAGGGAACGTGACTTACCTACGTTCGAACCACAAGAAGCTGAGGCGTTCTTCGAACACTTTGAACGGATAGCGACTCTGAAGGAGTGGCCGGAAGATGATTGGGCTGCTCTGGTCCAGGGCAGGTTGACTGGTGAGGCCCGGGAAGCCTATAACATGCTGGACCTAGAGGAGTGTAC